CATGTGGGTGGGGGAGGAGTCCAGGATGGCTTCTAGGTGGCAAACCTGGCTGTCTGAGGAACTACAAGAATATTAGGGGGAGGGCTGGGTTTGTTGGAAAGATGGGGAAAGGTTGTACAGTAACAGCAATATTGTAAGTGGAATAACTCTGAAAGACTCAAGAACACTGCTGGATGCACTGTTGTTACTCCCTGGTTTCAGTCTTGTCCAACTCTTCGTGACCCCATTTGGGGTTATTTTCGGCAAAGATTCTGGAACAGTCTGTCATTTCCCTCTCGGGCTAGTTTTACAGGACGAAGAAACTGAGGCAAACATGGTGAAGTGATTTACCCAGGGTCACACAACTAGTAAGTGTCTGAGGCCAGATTTGAACTGGGTTCTTCCTGATCTCAGAGCTAGCACTCTGTCCACTGCACCACTTAGCTGTTCTGATGGATGCAGTAACTACCCACAATTTCCAAGGACTGAAGATGAAACCAGATTTTTCCTGCCTGACAGAGAGGTTGTGCATCACAGTTGTACAATTTTTGTTTTCTTTTTTAACATTCATTTTTGTTTGTTTTGAGTTCCAGATTCTCTCCTCCCTCCGGTCCCTCCCCCAATTGAGAAAGCAAGCAGTATGGTGTCAATTATACAAGTGAAGTCATGTAAAACATTTCCATATTAGCCATGTTGCAAAAAAAGAAAAGAAAAAGAAAAACAACATACTTCAGTCAGCACTCGGAGCTCATCAGTTCTCTCTCTGGAGGTGAATAGCATTTTTCATCCCGAGTCCTTTGGAATTGTCATGGATCCTTGTATTGATTAGGGTAGCTAAGTCTCAAACGATCGTTCTTCCAGTATTGCTGTTACCGTGTAAAATGTTCTCCTGGTTCTCTTCGCTTCACTTTCCATCAGTTCATATAAGTCTTCCCAGGTTTTTTGGAGCCCATCGCCCTCATCATTTCTTATAGCACAATGTCGTATTCCATCACAATCATATACCACAACTTGCTCAGCCGTTCCCCAGCTGATGGGCATCCCCTCAATTTCCAATCCTTTGCCACTGCAGAAAGAGTTCCTATAAATACTTTCGTACATATGGGTCCTTTCCCTTTTTCTTTGATCTCTTTGGGATGCAGGCCTAGTAGGGGTATTGTTGGGTCAAAGGATACACACAGTTTTATAGCTCTTTGGGAGTAGCTCCAAATTGTTCTCCAGAATGTTTGGCCCAGGTCACAACTCTACCACCAATGCATTAGTGTCCCAGTTTTTCCACATCCCCTCCAGCATTTGTCATTTTCCTTTTCTGTCATGTTAGCCTGTCTGATAAGTATGAGGTAGTACCTCAGAGTTGTTTACATTTCTCTAATTATTAGGTTTTTTTTTTTCATGTTACTATTGATAGCTTTGACTTCTTCTTCTGGAAACTGCCTGTTCATATCCTTTGACCATTTATCAATTGGTGACTGGTTTTTATTTACACAAATTTAACTCAGTTTCCTATATATTAGAGAAATGAGGCCTTTATCAGAGAAACTTGCTGTAAAATTCACACATACACACACACATGTTTCCTGCTTTCCTTCGAATTTCAGAAGCATGGGTTTTGTTTGTGCAAAGCCTTTTTAATTTCATATAACCAAAATTACCCATTTTACCTGTCACGGTCCTCTGTGTGTCTTACTTGGTCATAAACTCTTCCTCATCCATATATCTGACAGGTGGTTTTTTTCCACACTCCTGTAATACGGTGTGAGGTATTGCTCTGTGCCTCGCTCTGCTGTGCTAATTTCCAGCCTTCCCAGCAGTTTTTGTCAGATAGCGTCCTGGCCTCAAGAGCTTAGATCTTTGGGTTTATCAAACATGAAGCTGTTATGGTCATCTCCCCCTGCATACTGTGCACTTAATCAGTTTCACTGATCAAACCACTCTGTTTCTTGGCTCTGCCCGTTTTCGTGATTACTGCTGTTTGAGATTTGGTACTGCTAGGTTGCTTCTCTTTGCTTTTTTTTTCTCATTGGTTCCCTAGATATTCTTGACTTTTTGTTCTTCCAGATGAATTTATGATTTTTTCTGGCTCTGTAAAATAATTCTCTGTTAGTTTGATTGGTATGACTCTGGATAAGGACATAATGTTAGGTAGAATTGTCCTTTTTATTATATTGGCTCAGCCTACTCCTGAACTATTAATATGCCTGCAGTTCTTTAGGTCTGTCTTTCTTTCTGTAAAAAGTGTTTTGTAATTGTTTTTGTATAGTTCTGGGTTTGTCTTGTCAGATAGACTCCCAAGTATTTTATATTGTGTGCAGTTACTTTAAATGGAACTTCTCTTTCTGTGTCTTCCTGCTAGGTTTTGTTGGTAATATATAGAACTGATGATTTATGTGGGTTTATTTTATATCCTGCAATGTTGCTAATGTTGTTAATTGTTTCAAGTAGCATTTTCGTTGATTCTCTAGGATTCTTTATGTATGCCAGCGTGTCGTCTGCAAAGAATGATGGTTTGGTTTCCTTATTGCCTAGTCTGATTCCTTCAGTTGCTTTTTCTTCTCTTATTGCTATGGCTAACGTTTCTCGTACAGTATTGAATAACAGTAGCGATAATGGACATCCGTGCTTCAGCCCTGATCTTACTGGGGAGGCTTCATGTTTATCCCCGTTACAGATAATGGTCGCTCTTGGTTTTAGATAGATACTACCTGTCATTTGAAGAAAAGCTCCATTAATTCCTGTGCTCTCTAGTGTTTTCAATAGGAATGGGTGTGGTATTTTGTCAAAGGCTTTTTCTGCATCTATTGAGGTGATATGGTTTTTGTTGTTTTTGTTATTTATGTGGTCAGTTATACTTAATAGTTTTCCTAATATTGAACCAGCCCTGCATTTCTGGTGTAAATACTATCTGGCCATAGTCTGTGATCTTTGTGGCATATTGCTATAGTCTTTTTTTTTTTCCCTTTGGCTAGGCAGTGGGGTTAAGTGACTTGCCCAGGGTCACACAGCTAGTAAGTGTCAAGTATCTGAGGCCAGATTTGAACTCAGGTCCTCCTGACTCCAGGGTTGCTGCTCTATCCACTGTACCACCTAGTTGCCCCGCTATGGTCTTTTTGCTAGTATTTTATTTTAGCATCAATATTCATTAGTGAAGTTGGTTTATAGTTTTCTTTTCTTTCTTTTTTGACTGTCCTTGCTTTAGGCATCAAAACTATATTTGTGCCATAGAAGGAATTTGGTAGGACTCCTTCTTTACCTATTTTTTCAGATAGTTTATGTAGTATTGAAATTAATTTTTCTTTAAATGTTTAATCTTGGGGATTTTTTTCTTAGGAAGCTCATTTATGTTTTGTTCAATTTCTTTTTCTAAGAAAGGGTTGTTTAAGTGTTTTATTTCCTCTATTCTGGAAATTTATATTTTTATAAATATTCATCCATTTTACTTAGATTGTCAGATTTGTTGGCATATAATTGGGCAAAATTGTTCCTAATAATTGCTTTAATTTCATCTTCATTGGTGGTGCGCTTATCCTTTTAATTTTTGATACTGGTGATTTAGTTTTCTTTTTCTTTTTAAGTCAAATTAACCAATGGTTTATCTATTTTATTGTTGTCATTGTTTTATAAAACAGCCTCCTAGCTTTACTTATTAGTTCAGTTTTTTTTTCTTTTAATTTTATTCATCTCTTTTGATTTTCAAGATTCTATTTTATTGTTTAATTGGGGATTTTTCATTTGTTCTTTTTCTGGTTGTTTTTTTTAGTTGCACATACAATTCGTTGATCTACTCTTTCTCTTTTTTTATCAATGTGAACATTTAGAGATAGAAAAAATCCCATAAATACTGCTTTGGCTACACCCCACAAATTTTGGTATGCTGTCATTATCTTTAATGAAATTATTGTTTCTATTTCTTCTTGTTGTTCTTTGATCCACGCATTCTTTAGGGATTATTTAGTTTCCAATTTTTAGTTTCTGCTTCCAAGCTCCTTTATTGAATGTAATTTTTATTGCATTGTAGTCCCCAAAGAGTGTATTTAATATTTCCTGCTTTTCTGCATTTGTGAAGTTCTTATGCCCTAATATGTGATCACTTTTTGTGAAGGTACCATGTACCACCGAGAAAAAGGTATACTCCTATTCCCATTCAGTTTTCCCCAGAGGTCTGTCATAGCTAACTTTTCTAAAATTATGTTCATCTCTTTAACCTCTTTCTTATTTATTTTATGGTTAGATTTATCAAGTTCTGAGAGGGGTGAATTGAGATTCTCCCACTAGTATAGTTTTACTGTGTATTTCCTCATGTAATTTATTTAATTTTTCCTTTAAGAATTGTGATGGTCTACCATTTGGTGCACATACATTTATTTAGTATTGATATTACATCATTGTCTATAGTACATTTTAGTAAAATGTAATTTCCCTGATTATTTTAATTAGGTCTGTTTTTGCTCTGAGATCATGCTTGTTGCCCCTGCCTTTTTTACTAGAAGCATAATAGATTCTACTCCAGCCCCTTATGTTAACTCTGTGTGTGTCTTTCTCTTTCAAGTGTGTTTCTTGTAAACAACATATTGTTGGATTCTGGTTCCTAATCCATTCTGCTATCTGCTTCTGTTTTATGGGTGAGTTCATCCCATTCGCATTCATATTTGTGATTACTAATTATGTATTTACCTTGTCCTATTTTCTTCTCTTTATCCTTCTTTTTCTTTTGTATCCTTTCCCTTCTCGAAAGTCTGTTTTGCTTCAGACCACAGCCTCCTGAATCCATCCCCCCTCTTGTTACTCTCCACTTTCTCTTTGCCCCTTCCCCTCCTTCTTCCATGTTGGGTAAGATGGACTTCTATACCCAACTGAGTGAGTGAGTGTGTGTGTGTGTGTGTGTGTGTGTGTGTGTGTGTGTGTGTTCTTCCCTCTTTGAATCTGTTCTGATGAGAATGAGGTCCAAGCATTGCCTGCCTCCCCCCCCAAATATACTACCCCCCCCATACATTGTTTTGCAGACTACAAACTGTCATGTGTGTTGTAAGAGTTTTATTTTTCTTTACTTTTCTCTTTTAGAAAATTTTGGAGTAAATCAGAGGGGAGGGCTGGGGATATAGCTAAGGGAGTCCAGAGAGAAAGGAAGAAAGGAAGAAGTTAATGTATAGAAGGGGTAGAGGAGGTAGAGATGGTGGAGGAGGAGGAATCGTCATTTATGGGGCACCTCCTGTATGCCAGGTACTGTGCTGAGCACTTACAAGTATGATTTCATTGGATCCTCACAACCCTGGGAAGTAGAAGTTCCTCATTGTCCCTGTTTTATAGTGGAGGAAACCGAGGCAGGTTAAGGCGCCTGTCCAGGAGTGCCCCGCCAGGAGCCGCGGCTGGCTTTGACTCCAGGCCCGGTGCTCTATCCACCACTCCAGCAGAAGCCTGAAGGGATTAGAGACAGGCCAGAGAGGGCTGTAAGGCAGCGCTGACTCGTGTCCAGAGGCCGCTGTAGGGCGCAGACGTCTTTTCCGTTTCACCACAGGTCCCATCTCCTTTGGCGCTCTCTGGGGCTCTCCCAGCACCCAGCACTGACTGGGTTGGGTTTTGCTCCTTTTTCCTTCCTGTTTACGCTGTTTGGGCGACCGATCGCATGCGTTGGCTTGCAGCTCCGGCTGCCTGTTTTGCACCGGGCTTCTCCAGGTGCTTCGTTTTTGCCATTTCCTGTAGCTCAGTCACATTCCTGGGCTCCGTGGCCCAGGGCTCACGTCAGCTCCAGCATCCTGTGTGCATCTCATAAATAGTCAGCGTAGCCGACCCGAAGGCAGGAGAGGCTGCTTGTGGCCGAGCTCTGGCCTTGGTGGGAGGAGGACCTCTTCAGAGCAGCCGCCACGTTCTCGCTAGAGAAGGCCCTGCAGTGGCGTGACCCCCACAGGTGAACATTCGTTTCGTGACAGCCTGGTATTTGCCTTCTTCGCTGTTGGCTCAGTCATAACCGGCTCTTGGCAAAGTGATGTAAACAGGATGTTGAATGTTTAAACTAAAATTTAATTGTGGGAAAATGAAACCAGCGGTGGCAGCAGAGGCCAGTTGGGTGATAGGCCTGGGGGGTGGGAGCAGATGCGGCGTGCTCCTTCTCTCCTGGCTCCTTGTGGAGGGGCTGCCTCAGGGGCTGCGGGTGCCCAGCGCTCTTACATTACAGACGGCCCTGGAAAGCCATGGGACGTTGCCTCTGAGGGAGCCGCCTTGAGCCCCCTGTACTTCAGGTTCTCTGTTTTTAAAAAAGGGATAAGCAGCTTTACCTCCTGACCTAGAAGGGACGCCATGAGGTGAAATCCCTGGGACACTGCTGCCCTGTCTGGTCACTTCTCCTCAGTCTCTGCCAGATCTGCAGCCGGCTCATGCCCAGCCACTGGGGGCATCCTCGGGGTCCCTGGGCTGGGCCCTTGCCTCCTTTTTCTTTTTTTTTCTTTTTTTTTTTTAAGGCAGTTGAGGTTAAGTGACTTGCCCAGGGTCACACAGCTAGTAAGTGTCAAGTGTTTGGTCCGAGGCCGGATTTGAATTCAGGATTTGAATCCTCCTGACTTCAGGGCCTGTGCTGTATCCACTGCGCCACCTAGCTGCCCCTTCCTCCTTTTTCTTGACCCTCATACTTGGTGACCTCCCCAGCCCCCGTGGGCTCATTTCTGTCGCTGTGCAGATGACTCCCAGATCAGTGTAACCTTCCCCTGACTTCCTCCTGAGCACTAGCTGCCTGTGGCCTCCAGGATCTCCAACTCAGCTTGGCCAGACTCCTCGTCCTTCCGAAATGCCCTCTTCCAGGTTTTCAGCCTCAGCTTCTTACTCTCTGACTGTGTGACCTTGGGCAAGTCACTTAACCTCCCTGGGCTTCAGCTTGCTCCTTTTTTACAGAGGAGGTTGGAGTAGATGGGTCCTGCGTCGCTTCCCTCTCTGCGTGTAGGATCCGTGGTCTTGTCATTTCTGCCATCATCCCTCACCTAATGAGTTGTCCACCCCTCCGACCACCCCCGCCTCTACCACAATGAGCCTCCCCAAGCATGGGGTCTCACCATGGTGCCCCCTCCTCACTAATTCTAGTAGTGCATGTGGCAACTTCTCTGTTTGGCGTTTCAAGCTTTTGACGACAGCCCTCCCTGCCTTTTCTCGCACCTTGTGGTCCAGCCTGCATGGTCTGGTCCTCACCACCCAGCCCCCATCTCTCACCTCCACGTCTTTGCACTGGCTGGTGGCCCCCAGGTGTTTGGTACCCTCCTTCCTCGCCCTCCCTCATCTCAGCCCCCTGGGCCTCCCTGGCTTCCTTCCCGTGTGAGCAGCTCTGCTGCTGCTGTCTCTGGGTGAGGCCCTGGCACGCTTCTCCGCTGATGGAATGTAAGCTCCCTGAGGGCAAGCCCTATAGCCATAGCACCTAGCATAGTGCCTGGCACATGGGGGTACTGAGTAAATGTTTGTTGTCAACAAGTGCAGACAGTGTAGGCAGTGACCCTGACAACCTGAGGCTGGAGGGGTCGACACAGCATGGGGCCCTCCCCAGAAATAGGAATGTCAAGTATCGTTTTCTTTATTTTTAAAAATGTTTTATGGACTGCCCTTTTTAAAAAATATCACTCACAGTAACAAGTAAGTACAGCTGAGCAAAGCCTGTTGGTCATGGTTGCAGCGTGGGCATGTCTCCCGGTGCCCCTGCAGGCCGTCCTGGCCCCGCCGAGAACGTGGTGCCCACCAGGATGGGCGTGGTAGGGCCCTTGGGTATTGCTGGGCTTGCTTGGCTTCTTTCTCTCTGACTCCATCATCCCAGGCTTCCGAATCCTTTGGGTTTGTCCCGTCTGAGGGGCTGGTAAGATTCTGTCACAGTCGTAATATGTCCCCATTCATTCGGACCCTCCCCAGGCAGGGGCAGCTCTTCGTGGCTACAGGAAATGCCTCTGTGCACCCTTGGGTCCGTGTGCCCATTTCCCTCCCCTGGGGGTGTATGCCCCGCTCACAGGGGATGGGCAGGCTACTAAGACGTGGCTCCAACACACAGTAATGACTGTGTCTGCATTCCTGTGGGCCTTTCGGCCTTTGCCGTTGGGGGTTTTGTCCTGGGTGAGACGGCAGGGAGTGGAGAAGTCGAGGCAGGGCCCTTTGATTTCTTAAGGAGATAGGCGGCAGGTCATGTACTTCCAGTGTGAGCAGAGCGGGGCAGCTCCTCGTGGGACGCAGAGTCAGTAAGTTGTTCAGAAGCTCTGCCCGCCCAGTTGAGGGGAGCTACGATTACCATCACAGATTCCAGGTGGGTGCAGTCAGCTTGATAGCACAGCTTTCTCCAGTGATGCTAAGTGCCCTGGGAGCAGGAGCAGAGTCTGTGTCTTGGGGATAAAGCTGGACATGACCTCGGGTCAGAGAGGGCAAGCCAAAGGGCCCATTCCAGCTGCCTCTGACTTCATGGAGGCAGAGATGCAGGTCCCTGGTTCAGCGTGCATGAGCAGGGAAAGTCAGAGAGTAGACGTGGAAACCACAGGGTTTTGGAGCCTGTGGAACTGCATGAGATCTGAGATGTACCTGGAGCCTGGGGAGCTGCCATGGGGTGGAGGGGAAGCATGACATCGTGTGGCCGTGTCTTACAAGAGGAATCGTCTGCATGAATGTGGAAGCCCCCAAGGCCATGTTCTAGGCTGGGAGGGAGAGGAAGGAAGCCTAAGCTCCTGGTGCTCCAGGGAACTGAGGGAAACAGGGCAATCGGGGCCAGCAGCCACACTGGGAGTGGATTGCTGGGTACGCGGGGGGCCTGGTGCAGCTTTTTAAACAGAACTCCCTCTTTTGCTTTCATGAGCTGTAGAAGTCTGCCTCGCTCAGCCACCATCAGAAAACTGCCTCAAACTGCCATCGCCCGCCGACCGTCCCGGTGACCCAGGGGCAGTCAGTCGATTTGGGGGCCCCTTCTTAAGTTCGGTTGATAAGAAAAAACCCTAATGAGTATTTGCTTCTTTAATGTAGTCTGGGACTTAATAGATTTTAGTACTTCAGAGAGCTGGGATTCCATCCCCTGGTGCAGGCCCTAACTCCTCCCCACAGCTCAGCCTGCATACGCACCCCTCCGTCCTGGGCAGAGTCTGCCAGAGCCGTGCCCTGCTGGCATAAACTTGGAGAGCGCCCCGGTGAGGCAGGAGAGCAGGGCCCTGAAGGGAGAGGCCGTGGCGGCTTACCCCCCTCCCCGTGATGACGTGTTCTCTAGCACTTTGCGGCATCCAGCCTCGCTTCATCTTTGTTATCTCCTCCACTGGCTTCCTGTTGCCCTCAGGGCCAGCTATGAGAGGCGTTTGAAGCCCTTTACAGCTTGTCCTCTTCCTACTTTTCCTTCCCACCTCCAGGCCATTGCACTGGCTGTGCCTCATGCCTGCAATGCTCACCCCTCATCTGTGTCTCTTGCAGTCCCAGGCTTCCTTCAGGACTTGGCTCAAGCTTCACCTTCCCCAGGAAGCCTTTTTCAGCTCCGAGGCCGATCTGAGGCCTGAATCACCTTACAGAGAGACCTGCCGGCGGCACAGATGTTTTTATTCCCACTTTTCACGTGGATAAACTGAGACTGTAATTGGTTAAGCTACTTGCCCAGAATCATAAAGCAAGTAAGTGACATAGCCAAGCTTCACAAGCAGCAAGAGGATGCCCCAGTGAGAAGAACAGGCCTGTAGTCAGGAAAATCCAAATTCAAATCCAGCCGCAGGTACTTACTAGCTGTGTGGCCTTGGATGGGTCACTTAACCTTATCTGCCTTAGTTTCCTCATCTGTAAAATGGGGATAATATTAATAACCCCTACCTTCCAGGGTTGTTGTGAGGCTGTTTGTAAAATGCTTAGCACAGTGCCTGGCACATAGCAGGTGCTCTATAAATTCTTATGCTGTGCCTCAGTTTCCCTCTGTCAAACCCAAGCCTTCTAGATCCAAACCTGTTTCCCCTCGTTGCCTCTTGTCCTTAGAGCCAACATCTGTAAACACAGCAAAGGGTAATGCACCAGACCCCATGAAGCTCTAGCCCCGAAGCCTTCCTGTTATTGTCCCTAGGCTGGGGTTGGCTGCCGGAAGACTCCAGGAGCCCCCAGATCAGGCAAAGCCGGCACCTGGTGTGATGAGCCTGGTGTCCACCAGGATATCAGGACCTTTGTCACATTGGTATGAAGGATGGAAAAAGGCTCCAAAGCCTGATCATGTCACTGTGGGCCAGGCCTTCACTGCCTGGGGTCCTCAGGGCTCCGGGCAGGGGCGGGGACAGGAGCCTGGCACTGAACCAGAATGGCTTCTCTGCAGGGACAGGAAAATGTTTCCTTCTTTGGACCAATTCGTTCTAAATTGAGAAATCAGCTTTGAATGTAAAAAGCAGGAAATCTCATGTTTCTTTTCTAGTCCATGAATAAACAGGAAAAGGAAGGAGGTGAAGAGCGAGTGAGCTGCTAATATTTCCCATTTCTAAAGCTGACCTGGCTAAAATGGTCTGAGCTTTCATTTTTTTGTGTGAAAATGTCTTGTTTCCCATTCATAGCCAAAGTAGTTAAAAATCCAGAAATACTTTTCCAGTCTCATTAAATTAATTAGATATATTTGTCATTAAAAGTGTCCAGAGTACACAAAATGAAGTTAGCATTCAGCCGGCCCTGTGGACCTCCATGGAGCACCGCAGAAAACCCCCCCATTCATTCATTCGGTTCATTTAATGTTTCGGATCTCAAGGATCTGCCATGGTGTCAGGAGGTTTTCTCCCTTCACAGATGCAGATCACACCTCCTTCCAGTCTTACTAAGTGGATGTTTGTGAATTTCCATGGCCAAGAGATCCATTACCCTGTGACCAGCTTGCTGATAAGCCTCCCCACCCTCAGCCCAGCGTTGTTCCGTTAACAGATGTGCTTGGTACAGCCTCCTGCCGGGCTTCCCCCAGCTGTTGCCGCAGTGGGGAGCCCTGGGTCGCCGTGGCCATGAAGAGCCACTGGAGTAGGAGCTGGGGGGTGCGGGGGGGGGCAGGATTCAGCTGAACAAGGCTTTGGTCGGTAGGTTGCTGGCCTTCATTCTGGAAGAGGACCCACATGACATCACTGTGTTAGAGCCAAGTTACAGTGCGTCCGACTGTGGCCGAGCAGACCGGGACAGCTTGGAATGTTCTGCCACAGGTTGGGCACAGACAGTCCGTGTGAACCTGTGGGCTGGATTGTCTAACTTTGAGCATCTCACATTCGTTTCTTTTGAGCTACTTTAATTCTCCTTTGCTCTTAGAGCGCAGCACCTTCTCTGACATGGGCACGCCATGCTGGGCGCTCCCATGCCAGCGTCTCCCAGGTCTCGCAATCGATCCCAGAGTCCTTAAGGGAGATCTTAGGAGTGTCCTTGTATCGCTTCTTCTGACCACTGGGTGAACGCTTGCCCTGTGTGAGTTCTCCATGAAATGGTCTTTTTGGCAAGCGACCATTTTGCATTTGAACAGCGTGGCCAGCCCGTGGGAGTTGTGCTCTCGGCAGTTCAGCTGGAGAGAAGACCTCGGCATCTGGTGCCTTGTCCTGCCGGGTGATCCTCAGAATCCTCCCAAGACAGTTCCAGTGGAAGCGATTCCGTGTCCTGGCCTGGCGCTGTCCAGATTGCACAGGCAGGTGGTCTCATCTCTGTAGTGCAGAGCGTTGTGCTTCAGCCTGAGGATTCAGAGATCAATCAAACTGAGACTGCCCTGCCCTTGGGGGACTTATGTGTGTGAAGTGGGGGGGTGGAGTTCCGGACAAGGTCGTCGGGGTCGTTGACAGCTGCCCGCTGCTTGGCCAGCAGCTGTGAATGAAAGCCACCAAACGCCATGCCGTTTCTTTACGTGAGCAGGGAATTCATCTTTACATCATCATCATGGCTTTCAAGTGAATAAGGTTGTGCACTTATGAGGCAGCTTGGAATTACCGAGAATAGGAATAGAAGGACAGCTTCCAAGAATGGGCTTACTTTAATCGGTTTTTCTACTGAGAATTTTCTTGAGTAGATAGTTCAGAAGCCTCTCTCCTCAAAGTCCCTTCTTCCCCTGGCTTCGGAGGGCGGTTTGTGGCTGACCAGCCTGAGCTAGTCTTGAGGCCTTGGTGAACAGAAGGCTGCTGTTAGCATCTTTAGAAGGAGCGCTGATCCAGCCTTCAGACGTTCCTGTGAGCATTCCCCAAGAAGCCCTCATCTGCCCAGGAGAACCTCAGGAGCCAATGAGGAATCCTGAGTGTGCTCAGGGCCACGGGGCTCAGAGCTGGGTGGGAGCAGAAGGATCATTTTGTCCGGTCAGGGGTCCCGAGAGCTGCAGAGGTGGGCTGACTCAGCTCTTCGAGCTCCAGATCCCGCCCTCCTTCCACCAGACTGTCCTCCATGAGCGGGCAGGCCCTTCTGTCAGGCGGGCATCATGTTATCATTTTTACCTGATGGCCATGGGCTGTCCGAGTTTGAAGGGAGGCCTGGTTGTTTTGTGCTGGGCTCTGTTCTTTCTGGGGCCAAGTGCACGTCCTGCATCGTCTTGCTGAGTGGGGCAGGGGCACCTCTGGGCGTTCTCTGCCACGTGAGGAGCTCTGTGGGCTTGTTCATTCCCTGTCTCTCCACACAATGACCCAGAGGGTGTTGGTCAGTCCTGAGCCAAGGAACCAGTGAGTGTGACCACGGACAAAAGCGTGCAGGGGCCCCTTCGCCTCCCAGACTCCCTGTCCTGCCTTCATTCAGCTGATGCCCAGGAATCTGCCAGGTTACCGCTGAGATTTTGTGGTCACAGCGCTGCGTCCGCTAGCTGAGCTGGGCGGCTGGGCCTGGAGTCAGGAGGACTTACTGTCTGGGTGACCCTGGGCAGTCATTTGACCTCTGTCTGCCTCAGTTTCCTCAGCTGTAAAATGAGGACAGTAATACCTCCAACCTCCCAGAATTGTTAGCATCAAGTGAGATAATACTTGCCAAGCATTTAGCGCGGCACCTAGCGCATAGCAGGGACTGTCTCGGTACTAGCTACTATTACTGTGATTTACACGACCGACGGTTTTTAATCCAGGAGGTCTGACCCTGCTCACCACAGAAAGCTTCTCCTTCACTCCCTGTGTGACCGTGGGCGGCTCCCAGCCCCTTCCTGGAGCCCAGTTTCCTTGTCTGTGAAAGAAGGGGTTTCTGCCAGGGGGTCTTTGAGGTGCCCGTGTCGATGATCTTGTGAACCACGGTCAGAACTAAGAGGACGTGGCAGGGCTTCCTGCCTGTGACGCCCCCCGCTGCCTTCCTTCCAGGCAGATACTTCCAAGGCGCGGGGCACCTCTGGCATTGCAGGACCCGAGCCATCACGAACATGCGATTTCCCATGACCGGCTGCAGCTCAGGTCGCCCTTGGGCTGCTCCTGTTTCTGGTTCTCTTCTTAACCTGTGCCTGTTCTGAGCCGCAGGCAGCGTCCTGCTGTGTTGGTGGGAGCCCCCGGGAAGGGGGTGCAGGGCACACTCTGACGGGTCTCAGAGGAGCGTGTGTCCTCCTCCCAAATCTCTTCCAGCCTGACTGGATGTTACTTGTATGTCCATTGAGGTTTGCACACCCGCTTCCCCACCCCCGGACTTTCTCACCTCCTCAGTGCTGAGCTTAGAGCCCGGCATGTTTGTGGGGGGTTTTGAGTTGTTTCCATTGTGCCCGACTCTCTGTGACTTTTGGGGTTTTCTTGGTAGAGATACTGGAGTGGCCTGCCATTTCTTCTCCAGCCTGTTTTACAGATGAGGATACAGTAGGTACTTAATAAATGCTTGTTAACAGAATGGCTACCAGAATCCCTCAAAAGAAAGTTGTTACTTGGGAAAAAGCCCTTTAAAGAGCAACAAAGGAGTTAGCAGCGTGTTGATAAAATACCCAAACTGTGCCTGACGGCTCTGACTGGACTATCCTTCCCTCTCCTCCAGGTCATCACTCCATGTCGGAAGCTTATCTTGTGCGCCGATAACAGGAAGGAGATGGAGGATTGGATCGCGGCCCTGAAGACTGTGCAGAACCGGGAGCATTTTGAGGTGACTCGGGAATTCTTCTGACTCAGGGGAGGGCCTCCTTGGCAGCCTGGGGACCCTTCCCAGAATCATGATTCTCAAGGAGAGGGGAGCATTCTGTTAGAGGTCAGGGAAGAGAAGGAGCCTATGTTGTCCTCTCCGTAGACCCCAGGTTAAGAAGCCCCCTCCTAGACATCCATTGCCTTTGAGCCATGCTCTGGGCCTCCTGCCCGTGACAGGCTGCGTCCCGAGGCAGGCTCTCCTGTGCACAGGGTCTCCCAGGCCCCTTGGGTCCAAGCCCACTAGCCCCGTCCACACTGGGTGCGCACTGGCTAGGCTGGGGAGCTATTTTAGCTTGTTCCCACTTAGGGCCCTTGGGACGTTGGCGGGGGGGGGCACCAGGGCACGTGTCCCCAGTCCCTCTTTCACTCACCACGTTTACCTTGTCCTCCCAGTCCACCCAGTACAGCATGGACCACTTCTCGGGCATGCACAATTGGTACGCCTGCTCCCATGCAAGGCCCACGTACTGCAATGTGTGCCGGGAGGCGCTGTCCGGGGTCACGTCCCATGGGCTGTCTTGTGAAGGTATGTGGGAAACTGAGGCTGAGCTTGCCAGACTGGCTGCCCAAGCAACAGAGCTGAGACTGGACCCTGGGCCCCCAGCTCTGCCCAGTGTCCCTTATGTCCCTTTACCATCCCGCTGCTGAGGCACCCAGGGGCTTGGCATCCAAGTGGGCATCATACCCCCAAGGCTGACCACACCTGAGAGCACAAGCAAAATGGGGAGTGGTCTCGCCGTGGGTCCTACAGCGGGCCCCAAGGGGTCACATGAGGCCCCCAAAGAGATGGAAAGGGCCCTTATCCCAGACAGGTGGGTGGGGGAAGGCGCTGGCACAGCAGCAGCGCCGAATTCACCAGCCAGAGCTTGCCTCTGATGAGGGCTTGAGATTTGCTGTGACCTTAAGTGGCAGGGACCCACCGCTGCTGGATTATTATCCCCATTTTACAGATGAGGAAACGGGCAGAGAGCAGTCCCATGACCAGAAGGGTGTGAAGTGGAGTTAAAACTTGGGTCCTGTGGACCTGACCACTGCACTGCCTAGCCAGCTGGCTGCCTCCAGGCTCGGGGCCTGACCGCTGGGCCTCGCTTCTTGTCAGGCCCTGCTGCACACACGTCTCACAGCATTTCAGACAGTGCTGCTTCTTGGGGGACAGTAATCAGTCATTTTGCTTAGACTTGAGTACACAGGTGAAGAAGAGAGAAGGGCAAGGTCAGAAAGCATAGAGAATCTAGAGCAGGGCCCGGGGTTGGCCCGCAGGACCCTCCCTCTGCCCTCCTCTGCGGGTCCTCGTCCTTCTCCTCCCCTGGTGCTGGAGGCGGGGCAGCCTCGCTCCAAGCCGCCCAGGAGGCTTCAGGGGGCTCAGGCTCCACCTGGGTCTCTCCCTCCGCTTTCCTCTCCAGTGTGCAAGTTCAAAGCCCACAAGCGCTGTGCTGTCCGGGCAACCAACAACTGCAAGTGGACGACGCTGGCTTCGATCGGAAAGGACATCCGCGAGGACGAGGATGGGGTAGGAGCGCCAAGAGGCCCCGGGTCCCCGTCTGTGTCCTCACCCTAAGTGTCCGGTGAAGGGGGTGGTTGTCCTGGTAGGCAAGCCTCACTGGGTTGCACTCGCTGAACTGGCAGAAAGGAGCGGGCCTCGGAGGCCTCAGGGTCCCGGGCCTCAGAGGCGTCAGAGTCCTGGGCCTCGGAGGCGTCAGATCCCTGTGCCTCGGAGGCATCAGGGTCCCGGGCCTCGGAGGCGTCAGGTCTGGGCCTTGAGGCGTCAGGGTCCCTGACCCCTGGGTGGGTGCCACAGGTCAAGCCTAGGGTCATCTCGGAGGGGGAGCCTTGGCTGAAAGGGCAGCCCTTAGGAAGGGCCCTGGAGCTTGCTGGTCTGGACGTCTGGCCGGGCTGCAGTCCATGCTCACACCCAGAGGGAAGCCTCAGCTGCTTCTGCCTCTGCTTTGCAGATCTCGATGCCCCATCAGTGGCTGGAAGGAAACCTCCCTGTGAGCGCCAAGTGCACGGTGTGTGAGAAGACGTGCGGCAGCGTGCTTCGGCTGCAGGACTGGCGCTGCCTGTGGTGTAAGGCCATGGTGAGCCACTGGGCACAAGGGAGGGGTGGGCCCCCTCATTCTGGTTCACTCATCTCTCAGAGACAGTGAGGTGTGGCAAAGCAAGCCTGTGACTTCAGGCCAGGGATCTTGGGTCCGGCCTCTTTGCTCCCTCTTTCCTCCTGGTCTGTGCCACAGGCTTCCTTTTGCCCCATGATGCTTGGATGCCCTCATTCTTGGGGTGTTGTTGCTGGGGTGTTGCCATTTAAACCTGCATGGCCACGTGTGGGCATCAGATGAGCGTGGGCAGCCTATTGCCTGGGCAAGGGACCCTTCGTGTCCTGTTAGAAAAAGAACGAGGAGTTAGAGGCTCTCCTGAGAAAGGGTCAGCAGGGGCCAACATTGGCCATGACCAAACAGGGCTTTGGGAAAGGAGAAGCCCAGCCTTAAGGTCTGCCTAAGTGATATCACCTGATCTAGGCTGGACACCTGCAGCTGGTGGCACAGGGGGCAGAGCCCTGGGCCAGATCTGTCCTCAGACACCTGCCTAGCTCTGTGTACCCAGGCAAGTCACTTAACCTCTGATTGCCTCAGTTTCCTCATCTGTAGAACAGGGATAATAATAACCCCTACCTCCCATTGAGGGAGAGTCAGATGAGATAACAGTTGTCCAGTGCCAAGTACAGTGCCCGGCACATGGTAGGCCCTGTATAAATGAAGATTCTGTTCTCCTTCCCCTTGGATCCGTAGAACTAGGGCCCAGCTATGCTGGGAGAGTGATTTGAAAGTGGTGATCATTGGATTGCCAGCCAGAAGGGGCCTTAGAGGTCGTCGAGTCTCACACTCTCATCTTACAGATGAGGAAACTGAGGCAGAGAGAGGTGGAGTGGGTGAGTGAGGCAGGCCTCAGACCAGGCTCCCTGACTCGGAGGTCAGGGTCCCAGCCACCATTGGGGATTCCAGATGTCAGTGGAGATTCTCTAAGAAGAATTGGGCAGTGGCAGTGGCAGCCTTGACCTCAGGGGTCTCTGGGACACATTCTGGTGCCATGAAAGTTGCCACCATTCTGGGGCAGCCTCCAGAGCCCTGGCGATGCCCACTGCTGCCTGCCAGCCCCCCACCACCTTCTGGAGCCTCTGGGTCAGTGAGAGAAGACCCTGGCCAGCTTGTCCCATTTATTCACAGAAGTTTCTTCCCCAGGCCAGCGACCCAACTGTTTGGCCATCTCCCTTCTCATACACTCCCCTCCCCTTTTGTCTGTCCAGATCCTAGGGGCTGGCAGCATGGCCTGGGGGCTGCCTCAGTGTGGGCACTAGATTGTCCTAGGAAGAAGGCACACCTCTTAAGGCAAGGATGTCCCAGAAGGATGTCCCCCAGAAGGACGTGTGTAGAGGTCACGTTGAGCTCAGGTTAAGAAAATCCTTGAAGGAAGTTAGCTTTTCAATGAGAAAACATTGGTTAAGGGCTTCTGTGTTAGGTTCTGGGCAGTGGAACAGAGATGAGGCGGGCAGGGTCCCAGGAAGGAAGGAGGAAGAAGAGGTGGCTAGGAGGTGCCACAGTGCAGAGGGCCCCAGGCCCAGAGTTAAGAAGACCCAAGTTCTAGTTCAGCCTCAGACACTTATCAGCTGTGTGACCCAGGGCAAGCCACTTAACCACTGTGTGCCTCAGTTTCCTTATCCGTAAGATGGGGGTAATCATAGTACCCACCTCCCAGGGCTGTCGTGGGCTCAAACAAGCCCATGTAAATCATAAGGCACCATCGAAATGTGAGCTGCTGTCCTCATCTATTATTATCAGCAACAGAGGACACGGCACAGGCTAAGCAGGTGGGGAGAGCTGGGACAATGGCAGACTTAGGTGACCTTAATTACATTCGCTTTCCCTCCAATCCTAAAATCCACAAGGGGGAGGGGCAGGCATTCAGCAGGCAGTGGTGGGGGGCTGTCCAGAAAAGGCTGGCCAGTCCCTGACAATTGTTGTTTCAGGTACATACGTCATGCAAGGATTCACTGCTGGCCAAGTGCCCCCTGGGCCTGTGCAAAGTGTCCGTCATTCCCCCGACCGCCCTGAACAGCATCGATTCTGATGGTGTGTATCTGCCGGCCCCCTCCCAGGTCTCTTCCTAGACTTTGTTGTCCAGGCAGGCCCCCCATCCCTACCCCAGGGTAGCTCCAGAACAGCCAGAAGAGGAGGTGGGCAAGCGGTTGGCCCCCAAGGAGAAGCCAGGACGGAGAACACTGGGGGCAGTAAGTTGGTGCCTGGGAAAAGGAGCTTAGGGCATGAGATCTCTGTTGAAGCAAGATAAGCTCTCGTCGTGGTTGACAAGGTTGGACAGTTAGGGGCCGTCGGCATCACCCCAGTGGTTGGCCAGACTTGATGGGCCTGGCCACTGTTCCAGCTGTTAGGATAAACCGGGCCCAAACGAGGCTCCCGGCCATGTGCTAAGTGAGCAGCTTAATTTACTGAGTCCAAGTCTGTCAGGAAAGGGACCAGCCCCAAGCAGATATAATCTGCATCCGCAGGGGTGGCTGGCTGGGGTTTCAGGTACCGGGTGAGACCGAGCCCCATTGCACTGTGAGTGAAGGGGAGACTGTCCTGGTGAGAAGGGGGTACTTGTTGCTGGAGGCAGATGGGAAAAGGCCCAAGGGCTGCAGGCATAGAGGCTCCTTCCTCCATGGGCCGGGAAGCTTACCTGCAGGCAGACTGTGGAAGCAAGTGGGAAGGAAGGCGGTCTAGCAGCGCCACAGAGCAGGAAGCGTCCAAATGCTGCCGTCCTGTCTGGGAAAGGAGAGCTTGGTCAGCAGAACCCAGGAGATAGACAGCGTGCAGAAACAGAATAGCCGGGCATTTGATAAGCCCAGAGATCCTGCTGCTGGGGTGAGAATTCAGGATTCAACAAAAACTGTTGGGAAAACTGGAAAAGCAGTCTGGCAGAAATGAGGTATAGACCAGCATGTCAGGACAGGCTCCTGGTGGGTTCATGATGGAGACGTAAAGGGTGACATCATAGACAAATTATGGAAGAAACACACCAGTCAGATCTATGAATGAGGGGAGAGTTCGTAACCACAGAAGAGGTAGAAAAGATTGCAGGAGGTAAAGTAGACAATTTTTAATGTGAAGTTTTTGTACAAACAAAACCAATGCAGCTAAAATTAGAAAAGACGCAGGTAAATGGGGGTGAGGCAGGGGAATCTTGGCAGCATTTCTTTTAAGGTCTTATTTCTAAGATCTATAGGGAAACTGAGTCAAGTTTATAAGAGTAAGAGCATTCCCCAGCTGACCGATAGTTGAAGGATATGTGCTGGCAGTTTTCAAAGGAAGAAATCCAAGCCATCAATAGCCATATGGGAAAAAAATGCTCCAGGTCTCTTCCCTGAGGCCTGGTGGGGAGGACGTTCTTTACAGGCTGAGTCTCCACAGAGAGGTCGGGCCTAGAGCACCAGCCCTGGATTCAGGAGGACCTGAGTTCAAATCCAGCCTCACACACATAACACTTACTAGCTCTGTGACCCTGGGCAAGTCACTTAACCCGCAATTCCTAGCCCAAAAAACAAAAACAAAAAAACAACAAAAAAAAGAATTAGCGTTCTTGAAGAAGAGAGTGAGAGAGAAGGGGAGCACCTTTCATGCTACCTCTTCTAGATTTTGATCACATCTCCCTTCTTCTGTGCATCTAGGCTTCTGGAAAGCCACGTGTCCGCCATCTTGTACAAGCCCACTGCTGGTCTTTGTTAATTCCAAAAGTGGAGACAACCAGGGAGTGAAGTTTCTGAGAAGATTCAAGCAGCTGCTTAATCCAGCCCAGGTCTTTGACCTCATGAATGGAGGACCCCACCTTGGGTAGGGGCAAGAGTCCAGTGGCCCAGGGGCATGGCAGAGCTTCAGCCCCAGGCCGGCCGCAGAGGAAAACGTCTCTCCTCTCCTCTCCCCCTCTCTTCTCTCTTCTTACTCTCTCTCCCTTTTTTTCCCCCATCCTTCTCTTTCTGTCCCCATCCTTCTCTTTCTCTCACTCTCTTTCTCTCCCCATCCTTCTCTTTCTCTCCCCATTCTCTTTCTCTTCCTCCCTTTATCTCTCATTCTCTCCTTTCTTCTCTTCCCTCTTGTCTTTCCCCTCCTCTCCCTTCTTCCCCCTCAGCTAGGAGTAGATCTATAGCATCCTTGTTCAGCCACGGATACAGATGAGGAATTGGGCAGTAGATGGGAGCTGTGTCCGTAGCCAGTCCTGCTTCTCCAGACCCTCCCCAGGTGCTCGCAGGGCCTTTGCTGCTCAGACAGGAGAGGTCTGGTCCGTGTCCTCTGTCCTTCCTTTCTGGTTTAATGTGTGTCCGTGGTGACATCTGTAGGCCACATTGGGGACTTCTGTCTTTATGACCCCAGCTGCCTTTTTTCTGCTTGAGATGAAGCTTGATGTGAGATGGGGGCTTTCAGAAGGCCCAAGTCCAGCATTGAAAGGAGCCATATCAGGATATTTGGTTTGCAAATGTACCTGCCAAACCTGTTCTCTCACTGTGGAGTTCACCTTAAGTAATCGAGGATTCTGTGGCTGGGGAAGCCAAGTCTCTTGAAACGTGACACCGAGACACCACTAGGGCTCTCTCCTGTCTGATGGTGGCCAAACCCAGCCTGGGCCGGGAACGCCTCCTGTGCCTCCCAAGGCTTTGCTGACTCTGGTGACGTTTGGTTTTATTTGACCTCAGTTTACTCCTTCCTGCAGGAAGGTCATTCATAAGAGGATGCTGGTGGCATCTCCCAAAGCAGGCATCCAGATAGGAGCCAATGTTATAAGGCAGTTGTCTGCATTGGGGAGAGGGCCAGGGTCCCCACAGCAGGGCCTGGGGGTCGTCCTGTGGTGGGATTCAGACAACCTTTGGGTGCCACCCCCATTTGGGACAGGCAGTGTGCAGGAGAGCCGTGTCCACAGCCCTCAGACCCTTCCCAGCTGTGTGTGTAAAGGAAGTTAATATCTGGGAGGAAAGTGCTTTGTTAGCTTTAGGGAAGAGCTGCCTGAACCCTTGTTATCTTAGAGTCGAGGCTCCCCTGGTGGGACAGCTCCCATGAGGTCTGGGGGCTGGGTGTCCAAAAGGAGCTGTCAGGGAGCCCTCCCTGACCAGCAGGCTCCATCTGGGAGGACGCCTAGCTCCCTTATCTCTGACATCTGAGCAGCGACCAAAGCCATGCTGATGATGGCGCAGGCGCTGAGATGGCCTCCTTGTTCTGGTCTCCTCCCCAGAGAAGTGCCCCAGGGGTATCAGGACAGGCAGGGGGCACAGTGGGTGCACCCGGAGGATTGGGGCAGGCAGCGGGCACAGTGTGCACACCAGGGAGGTTGGGGCAGGCAGCAGGCACGGTATGCACACCAGGGGGATCAGGGCAGGCAGCAGGTACAACGTGCACACCAGGGGGTCGGGGCAGGCAGTGCGCATGGCGGGCATCTACTAAGAGGAAGACTCCAGACTTGCACCTTCCTGAGAGTTCCATCTTGCCACCAGAGAAGGCAGGGCTTGAGCGACCCAGACTAAGGAAAGTCTGGTGACAGTGGGTTTTCTTTTTCCCCACAGTTTACGTTTGTTCCAGAAGTTTGACACTTTCCGGATTCTGGTGTGTGGTGGGGATGGGAGTGTCGGATGGGTCCTCTCTGAGATTGACAGCCTCAACCTTCACAAGCAGGTGTGTCCCCCGCCGAGTCCATGAGCAGGGCGGTGCGCCAGCCTCACAGCCCAGACGTGCCCCTGGGCCTGACTCTTCTCCAGATTCTGGGGTCACCGCCTTTTTGGACTCATGGCCCACTTGGGCAGTCTGGTGGAGCCTGGGGATGCCCGCTTAGAGGAAACGCCTGTGTCTAAATGAAGTAATATTTGTAAAGCCCGTGGCACTCATAGGTGCTTCACTGCTTGTTCCCCTCCCCCTTTTAAGTGCATAAAATAGTTACATTGAAATACTGTTATCCAAATGTTTTCGAAATGAGTTTCCAGGTTAAGAACCCTGGCTGTTGGGAGTAAGGAGTGAAGTGAAAGTCTCTGGTGATGACCAGGGTGTAGAGAGGCCGGGAGAGGACAGGAAGCTGGACGCTGGAGGTTCAGGGCCGTTGTGCAGTGGGGCAGGGAAAGAAATGCACCCAAGCTCAGTGCCAAAAAAGCTTCTGGGAAATGTCATTGCCTTACACAAGCGGATTTTAGCAGGGAAGGAAATCATTCCGGATTCCCCTGTCCCCTTTATCCCTGCTTGTGTGACCTTGGACAAGCCATTGATCCATCCTCTTGGGCCCCCTAGAGTTTCTCCACGCTATAGTGGGGGGATTGGAATCGAGGCCTCTGGAATCCCCAGGAACTCGGGGTCTCTGGCACTGCGCCCGTCTGTTGGATTTCTGCCGTGTGTTTAGAATGCCCCTTCCAAGCATCTTCCTTGTTCCCCATACACCCCACTTTCTTGGGCCCTTGCAGAGGCAGAGAGGGAAGCTCCCTGAAACATGTCCTCAGCCAGAACTCCAGGCTTGGTAGACAAACACACAGCCCCCGACTCCCAGAATAGCTTAGCACTTGGGGAGAAAGCCATGGAATAAGGGGAAAGCAGCCCTGCCCCAGCAAGCCACACACCACACCCTGGTGGTGAAAGTCGAGAAATAAACTCAACTCGCCTCATGGGGAAGAGTCTGCTCTTTCCTTCAGCGGCTTGTCATTGAGCCTTGGGAGGAGGAAGGAGGAAGCATCTCCTCCCTGTGCACAGATGAGTCTGATGCGAGTCAGTGGGCAGTCAGCTGCCTGGGAGGGCCCCAAAGAGAAACTCCGGGCATTCAGAGGAGGCCGAGAACCGTAAGTGAAGGGGGTGCCGACAAAGGCATCACAGACATCCCCCCGGCTCTAAGCATCTCTCATTGTAGCTTTGATGAGCTGGGAAATCAACCAGCTTTTATTAAGTGCCTACTGTGTGCCTAGCAGGTGGGACTCAAAGAGGTCAAAGACAGGAACTTACAAGAGGGTGAAGAAGGAGCACACCTCTGGCTCAGATTGTGAGGGGCCTCAAATGCCTTTGGCACATTATGCGGGACAGCTGTTAAAGGCCACCCCATCTGAGCTTTTAACATAATAGATGAGGAAACTGACGCTCCCGAAACATTGAGTGATGTGCTCTGAGTGACCCAGGTGATAAGCAGAGGAGGCTGGATTTGAATCCAGGGCTGCTGGCATCTCTTTATTAAGCTGCATATGAGCAGGGGAGTGACTTCATTAAGGTGGATTGGAAAGGAGAGGAGGGAAAGGCCAGGGACCACTTGGGAGGCTGTTGTGGCAGTGTGCCTGGCTGCTAAGAAGGGTCCAGGCTAGGGGTCAGGTCGCACTTGTGAGAAAGGGGAGGCCGGGTGTGAGAGGACTTTCCAGAGACGGTGAAGCCAGCCTCAGTTGGGACATGGAGAGATTGCCAATGCTGCCAAAGCTGCGGCCTGAGAGGCAGAAGCCCGCCCCCTACTCAGCTTCTCAGTGACCGGCCACCCTGGTGGGCTGGGCGGGTGCTCAGGGGGCTCGTCCCCTCCTGGTGGTGGTCGGGGTGGCGGCTGACAGGCGTCTTGTTTCTTCCAGTGTCAGCTGGGAGTGTTGCCTCTCGGGACAGGAAACGACCTGGCTCGCGTGCTGGGCTGGGGCTCCGCCTGTGACGATGACACCCAGCTCCCCCAGATCTTGGAGAAGCTGGAGAGAGCCAGCACCAAAATGCTTGATCGGTGAGTAGGGGAGGCCCAGAGGGGCCCCTGAATCCCTGGCTCGAAGGCTGGGGCCCAGCAGCCAGAGCTGGGCCTCAAGGAGCCCGCTCGCCCTGGGTCGGCAGCTCTAATCCTCTGTGATCACCCGCGTCCAGCCTGAGCCTCCCCTCCCCTCCCCTGGCCCATGTTCATTGTGTGTGTATGATGTGTGCGTACTCCCGTGTGCAGGAAAGAGGATGAGGTAAAGAGGAAGGGTCGGCCTGGAGGCAGTGAGGCGAGGAGGAACACGGGCAGATGGGCATCGTAGAAACGTCCTGGGGGCAACTGGGGGGGACTGAGGGGCAGGGAGTCCGGTGAGAGGTAATGGGGGTGTGCACCAGAGGCAGGAACAACCAGACTGCTCGCTCCCCTTTGGGCGTGGGGGGATGCGGGACAGTGCCTGGCATGGACTGAGGTTGTGGACCCCGGGAGATGCCCTTGGCAGCATGGCACAGTTGGAGGAAGGGTGGGTTGGGGGGGAAAGTCCCTGCCTGCTCTGCTTGCCCGTGCTCCTCTCTCTGCCCCACCCAAAACAAAAAGGGGGCATGGGGGACATTTACTCACTGGCCCCCGCCTGTGCACATTGCCTGACCTGGCCACGGGCAATCAAGGGGACAGAGGATGGGAACACAGGGGTGGAAGATCCCCCATTGGCACCCGGGCAGCTGCTGCTGCTGGGAGTACTCAGGGAGCAGTGAGATCATCATTGTACACATTTATTGAGCACCTACTGTGTGCTAGGCCCTGTGCTCAGGGCTGCCCCTAAGATGGGGAGAGGCTGAGGGCTTTTACAAACGAGGCCTGGGAGCACCAGAGGCCATCCCAAGGGGTAGGCTACCCCCCCATCTTTTCAGCTTCTGCTGATCACACACCCCTTGAGGTCAGGTCCCAGCCCAGTTTTGAAAGCCTCGACTCTCTGTAATTAATATATTATTGATGCCATCAAAGATGTCTATAACTGGGAAAAGATGTAGGCCAGTCACGCACCAGAGTCAGGGTGACGGCAGGACTGTCAGGGATTGCACTGTCTTGCTGCAGACCCAGAGAGTTTCCCTACAATGGGCTGGGTAGGTTCTTTTTGCAGGAAAGACAGGGACACAGATTGCCAGGATGAGAAGGGCCGGGGTGGGTTGCCTCCTGTTCTGGAGGATGGAGAGGCCCAAGCCAAGGTGACACAGGAGACAGCATAAGGAGGCCGGATAGCCGAGGGACTCACTGGCATGGGCTGGTGGCCGGGGGCGTGCCCCCTTCACTGGTTTAGGTTAGGGTGGCATTTTCATTTCTCCCATTTTTAAGGCCTTGCCTGGCAGACCAGGGGCTGGCTTGGAGCTCGCATTTCTGGAAACAGATGCTTCTGGAAGAGCCCATACCCCTGGGGACTCAGAGACTCAGCTTTAGGCTGAATGTCAGGAAAAGCTTTCCTTTGAGAACTGTACCAGAGCAAATGGGCAGCGGGGGCCTCCTCTAGGGACACTCTGGAGAGGCCCTTGCATCAGCTGGGCCAGGCACTGAGGGCCTTCTGGGAGGCCCAAGGGGCAGCCTCAGTTTCCCCATCTGTAGAATGAGCCCTGAAGGTCCGTGCTTCTGGCCTACAACTGCCTGCCTTTCAGGAAATCCCTTTGCTGTCCTTTGTTTAAGGGATGGAGAGCTAGAGGCTGGCTAGGTGCCTGGGGGGAGGGGGCCCTGGGGCCCTCCCTTCCTGCCCCAGCAGGTCATGTTTCCCAACTCCCAGGTGGAGCATCATGGTGTATGAAACGAAGCTCCCTCGGCAAGCGTCCTCTTCCACGGTGCCAGAAGACTTCAGTGAGGATTCAGAGGTAGCAGTGTGCCTACCACCACACCCCCCACCCCAGTTCAGCCCTTTGGCCCCGCCCAGGAGCTCCTCCAATGGCCACCTGGCTGATCGCCCCTCCCTCCCCTGGGCTGCCATCTTGAAATGTCACTTTCTTTGTGCCATCCCTCTGCCAAGAACCTTGTGGCCCCCTCTTTCCTCGTGGGGGGACCAGCCTTTGGTGGGAAGCAATGACGTATTTGTTTTCCCAAAGCTTTGAGATGGTCAGGCTAGGGACAGGGGAGTTTGAGTGCCGGCAGGCAGGTGGGGTGCAGCCGCCAGCCTGCGGGCAGCCATTGTTTGGGACCGCGCCTTCCATCATCCTTCTGTCCTGGTGCCCACTGCTCTGGGACACAGACCCTCCCCTTTGGTGCCATCGGGCTTCTCGTTGGGTGGGCACATGCTCCATCCACTCCCTCCTCCTCACGTGCTGCTGCCCCCACTTCCTGCTGCACTCGCCCCTGCTATGTCCCCTCAAGACCCAGCCCAGGTGCCGCCTGGCTCACACTGGTTGTCCATCCTCGCCATCACTCAGCCCTTGGCTTCAGGGGCAGCATGGCTCAGGACAGCTCTGGGGGCCCCACGGAGCCCAGGCTTTGGAGAAATGCTTAGGGCTGGATTGTTCCCCCCAAGAACAAGAGCCCCTTAAAGAGGGGATAAATGCCCCCCGGCCTGCGGGCAGAGGAGCAAGGCGTGTGCTACCTGGTTGGGGGAGAGAGGCCCAGGAACAGGACCGGGGGCAAGGCCCAGGCAGAAAGCCCAGGGTCGCCCATCGCAGAGCCAGGAGAGGGAGTGGCAGGCCTGGGCCCCGGGCGTGCCAAGGAACATGCTGCTTCCTTGTGGGAGAGCGGGTAGGCCGCAGGGCCCCTGACACTCTCACCTCACTCAGGCCCAAGGTGGGCCAGTCTCGTCCTGAAGATGCCTTTCCGTGGCAGAGCAGCCCTCGGGGTCAGCTCCATTTTACAGTTGAGGAAACTGAGTCTCAGAGAGATGACCTGCCACCCAGAGCTGGAGGCAGGCCCACCCTGGGCCTCCATCTCTCAGCCTCTGGTGTTTTAGCTGAGCCAAGGCCAGGGCTTCCCAGGGGTGCGTGGAGCTCTGCACCACAGACCCCACTGCTCATCCTTACCTTGTGTCTCTGCAACTCTAGGTCCAGCAGATTCTCTTCTATGAAGACTCGGTGGCTGCTCACTTGTCCAAAATCTTGACTTCGGATCAGCATTCTGTGGTCATCTCCTCCGCCAAGTACGTGCCCACGAGCAGCAGGCTGGTGGTGCGGGGTGGGGGGCCTTCTGGAAGGAGGCCCGCATGCCTTGTCCCCTGCCCCACGGCCTCCGCTCTTCCTCCCCGCAGGGTGCTCTGTGAAACTGTGAAAGACTTTGTGGCACGAGTGGGGAAGGCCTACGAGAAAGCCACGGAGGGCTCCGAGGAGTCCGAAGTCATGGCCAGGAAGGTGAGCACAACGGGGCGTGGCACATGGCCACCAGCGGGAGGGGGAGTGGGTCCTCCGCAAAGTCTGAGGCACTCCGCTTCCTTCCTTCAGTGCTCTGTGCTCAAAGAGAAGCTGGACTCTCTCCTTAAGACGCTGAATGAGGAGTCCCAAGCCTCCTCCTCCCTGCCCAACCCCCCTCCCACCATCGCAGAAGAGATGGAAGATGGTGACGGCTCTGGTGGGATCTGCGCCTCCTCCACTGACCGCTCCATAGGGCCGGCCTGCCCGGCACGGCCCCAGATATTCCGGCCTCGGGAGCAGCTCATGTTGAGAGCCAACAGCCTGAAGAAAGCTATTCGCCAGATCATAGAACATGCAGAAAAAGGTAGCCTGTCGTGGGGTCCCTCCTGCCCTCAGGAAGCCTTCAGGCAAGGGAGGGATCGCTGACCCCAACCCAGGCAGGCGTTAGGGCCTTGTCACCACAGACTGTTTCCTTCAAGTGTGGGTGCACAGAGGGCACCCTAGCCCAGCCTCCATCTCCCAGAGATGCCAGCAGCAACCCTGGCACCCAAAGGTGGCCATGCTGAGAGAGCCCGCAAAAACCAAAAAAGGCTTTTCCATATTTGGGGAGTCCTGGCCAGACAGACCTTTTTTTTTTTTCTTGGTGAGGCAGTCAGGGTTAAGTGACTTGCCTACAGTCACACAGCTAGTAAGTATCATGTCTGAGGCTAGATTTGAACTCAGGTCCTCCTGACTCCAGGGCCAGTGCTCTATCCACTGTGCCATCTAGCTGCCCCCAGACAGGCTTTCCTTAAGAGACACATTGTGACCGCCCAGGAAGTCTGGAGCTCTGGTCCCGTCCCTGACGCTTCTTGCTGTGTGACCCTGGGCAAGTCCCTCAGACCCTCTGGGCTCGAGCAGCCTCTCTTGACTGAAGGCGGCAGAGATGCCAGCTTGCCTTGGCAGAGGGAGCTTCCCCACCTGGTCAGGCCCTGCCCCTGCCCTCTGCAGTCTGTCCCTGCCACGTATGTGTTTGCTGAGCACGGGCAGTGCCCAGGGTCCTCTCTTAAGCCCCAACTCCACGGGGAGCATTGTCCCTGACTTACAGACGGGGAAGTGATTTTCCCTCAGTAGTTCCAGGCCGAGGATGTGCCAGGCTTTAGTTATTCTTGGTGGTGGGTAAACTTCCTAACAAGCTGAGCTGTGCCAGCGTGGCCAGGTGGCCGGGCCACTGCACAGGGGCCTCCTGTTTGGGTCAGAGTTGGCCTAGGCGCCCCTGAGCTCCCGCCAGCCCTGGCTTAGGTGGCCCCAGGCTGCTCTGCCAGGCTAGGAGGCAGAAGATTTGGATTCTGGGCCCTGCTTGGCTGAGGGCCATGGCACTGTACGCAAGTCACGTGCCCTCTTTGCTGCTGTGAAAGGCAGGCATGAACACCTGCTCTTTCCCCCACCCATCAGCATCAGAAGAGGTGATGGAGGTGCATGATGAGCCAGCCCAGGGAGGGGGAGGGCGTTCGGACCTCTTACAGATCCCTCCCCTCTCCTGGGCAACAGCAGGGCCGAAGGCCCCTTCAGACTCTGCCCAAATTCCTGGAGAGCGGCCGGTGGGCAGAGCCTGAAGGACAGCTTTTCTAGACTTACATGGTCCCTTCTGTCTTCTTTTCCCGATCCTTCTTGCCATGTGTCCTCCTTTCTTTTCCCATCACTTCTCCTGTTCTGTTTCTCTGCTTCGCGTCCACGTTTCCCACGTCTCTCTGCCATGTGCTTCACCAGAGGACCACGTGTAAGACTAGGGCGGCTTCCTTGTCTCAGCCCAGCCCATCACCTGCACTCTGGGTGCCCAGGCTTGGGCGCCTGTGAGGTCCCCAGGACACCTAGGCTGTGTTCAGCTGTCTCTCCACCCAGCTAGATCCTGGCCCTGTTGGGTTTGTGTCCTCCTTACATTTACCTCTGTGGAAATAACCTCTCCTTATCTGCCGCCATCTGGCTCTCTTGAGGCCTCAGCAGGCTTGTTCAGAGTGACGCTGTCCCCGGGCAGCGTTGGCCGGCTTGGCCATCCGTGTCCGGGCTTGCTCCATCCTCTGTTCCTTTCCTTTTCTGTTCCTCAGCTGTCGATGAGCAGAACGCCCAGACCCAGGAGCAGGAAGGCTTCATCTTGGGGCTCTCTGCTGCCAATGAAGGCAGAGAACCCAAGGCGGAGGACAAGGCCCCCCTACAGTCATCTCATGGCGGCAACGGCAGCGTTTCCCGAGGGAGGAGCCATCGCAAAGGTACCATCATCGGCCCCCTTTCTGGCGTCATTGCCTTTGGAACTGTGAGGCCGTCTCTGTGCACGGCCCTGGTGTCCGTGCCTGCCTGGGCTCCTTACCTGAGCCTGGACAGAGGGACCGAAGCTGTCTTGTAGGCCTCCTCCCACAGGTAGCCCGCTACTTTCTGTTTGCCCACTTCCACTGCCCTGGAGCCTCCCTGGGCACCTGAGGAGGGTCCTGCCAAGGAGCCCCTCGTCCCCCAGGATCAGAGCCTTTACTGGCCCCTCTCTGCCTCCCCCATTCCTGTTTCCTCACCTGGCCCCACCCCCAGGTAGGCAGGTAGACAGAGGATAGGCCAGAGATCATACCTGCTGTCTGAAGCCATGACATGGCCAGGGGGTCACCAGGAGCTCTGGAGCACCTCGTGGGGCTCCCCCCTTCCCCCCACAGCTAGCTCTTCCTGATCCCGTGACGTTCTACACACGTGTAGGCCGTGGCATGCACAACACGTGCTTGTCATATGGCTCTTTTTAAAAAAAACTAATTTATTTTGATTTATCAACAATCACTTCCATATGCTTTTGAGTTGAAAATTTTTCTCCCTTTTCCTCCCCTCCACCCTCCCCAAGATGGCGCACAATCTGATATATGCTATACATTTACATTCCTATTAAACATTTTCACATTAGTGAAGTTGTAAGTAAAAATTCTCACTAGTGTTTTGCTTTTGACCACCGCCTCCCTGAGTCCCTCCTTCCCTTTCCCTTTTTTTCCCTTTAGCCTTACTGCTTCTTCCCTCCTTTCTATCCCCCCTCCCTTTTCTTTCCCCTTTTCCCTCCTACTGTTGTTATTCCCTTCTTGAGCCAAATCTGATGAGAGTAAGGTTCAAACAATGCTCCCCCCCCCTTCTTTCCCTCTGCTGTAATAGGATTTTATGTCTTTTCCTGTAATGTACTTGGATCCATTTAGCCCACTTAATGAGGTTTTTTTTTATCATTACATCAAAGTCAACTAATATCCACCCCCTTTATGTATACTCCTTTAACGTGGTGTAATAACAGTACAGTTCTCAAGAGTTGCAAGTGTCATCTTCCCTTGTAGGAATGTAAACAGTCCACCCCTACTAGCAACATATTGTATCTTTATGTCTTTCTTGAATCTTGTACTTGAAGATCAGATTTTTGTTGAGCTCTGGTCTTTTTGTCAGGAAGGCTTGGAAGTCCCCTATATTCGCTGAATATCCATCTCCCTTGAAAAATCATGCTTATTTTTGCAGAGTAGCTGATCCTTGGCTGCATTCAAAGCTCCTTTGCCTTATGGAATATCATGTTCCACACCCTGCGGTCTTTTGATGTAGAAGCCACAAGGTCCTGTGTAATCCTGACTGTGGTTCCACAGTATTTAAATTGTTTCTCTCTGGCTGCTTGCAGCACCTTCTCTTTCATCTGGTAATTTTGGAATTTTGCTATTATATTCCTTGGTGTTGTCAATTTGGGATCTCTTTGAGGTGGTGACCGGTGTATTCTTTCTGTGGTTATTTTACCTTCTGGTTCTAGGACTTCAGGGCAGTTTTCCTTTATGATTTCCTGAAAGATACTGTCCAGGCTCTTTTTTTATCATGATTTTCAGGTAGTCCAATAATTTTTAAATTGTCCGTCCTAGATTGATTTTCCAGGTCGGTTGTTTTACCAGTGAGGTATTTTAAGTTTTCATCTATTTTTTCTTTTTTTTGTCTCTGTTTGACTGATTCTTGCCCTCTCATAGAGTCATTAGTTTCCATTTGTCCAATTCCAGTTTTTTAACAGATTGTTTTCTTCTGTTAGTTTTTGTACTTCCTTTTCTAATTGGCCAATTGTATTTCTAAGGGATTTGTTTTCTTCAGTGTACTTTTTTTCCAGTTTGTCAATTGTTTTTTAGGGACTTGTTTTCTTCTTGAGCTCTTCTAAGAAGGCTTTTGGGGCTTCAGACCTATTCCCTTTTGATGTTGCAGATGTGGGTTTGTTGACAATATTATCCTCTTCAGAATTTCTGTCTTGATCTTCACTCTTCTCATAATACGAATCTATGGTACGTTTCTTTTTATTCATGGTTTCTTTATTCCCTGGCCTTTAAAGAGATTGAGCTGTCCTGCTGAGGAACAGAGGGCACCGACCCAAGCTTCTTGTGTTGGGAGCGTAGGTCTTGGTCACTGGCTTTGTGTGCTGGGTGGAGGCTGTAGGGTTCTGACACTTACCTCTTGTTGGGCAGGAATCAGTAAGGCTGGAACTTTCAGGAAATTCTAGATTGCCTGCTTTTCCTTTCCTTTTAGCTTTCTTCAGCTCCTTTTAGATGGGTTCTGCAGGGTGTCCATCTGCCTGGGGCCCCTTGCAATGCTGCCTCCCTTGTTTCTGCTAATGCATTGGGAGATTCCTTGGAGGCAGAATGCCAAGGCACCTGGTGGTCTTCTGAGCTGATTTCCACTGGTGTCCCCGTCCCCCGTCTCCCCCCCCCCCCCCCCGCCCTCACTGAGGCACTCAGAGGTCCAGGTGTTGGTGTTTGCCTGCTCTACCACCTGGGCTTCAGGGTCTTCTCCTGGTTGACAGTTGGAGGCTGTAGGGTTCTGACAGCTTACCTGGTATTGGGTTGGAATCAGCAAGGCTGGAACTTTAGGAAGACTCTAGGTTGCTTTCTTCAGCTCCTTTCAGATGAATGCTGCGGGGTGCTTATCCGCCTAGGGCCCTTTGTAGTGCTGCTTCCCTTATTTTTGCTGAGGCCCTGGGAGACCTGTTTGCTGGGCTGCTGCACTGCTGCTCCCTGTCTTCTAGTTCAGCTGTTCCAGGGTTGGGTTTTTTTTTTCTGGGGTGATATTTTCTGGGTTTTCAAAGGTTGGTAGGGGAGGGTGACAGCAACTACTTTTTACTCTGCCATCTTGGCTCCTGGAAGCGGAAGACCTCCTTTTTTTTTTCTGGCCTAGACTAGGGGTGGGGAACTTTCAGCCTCGAGGCCACAGGTCCATATGGCTCTTTTGTAATTGGGGATTGCTGGTCTCTCCAGTGAGAGGACAGGGGTGGGGTGGTTTGGGAGGCACCTGTTGTCCTCAGCATGCTCTCAGCCCATCTCAGGGTAGGAACGGGTGTGCTGGGCCTGTCCTCACACCTGAGCTCCTCAGGGTGTCCAGAGCATTCCCAGGAGCTGTTTGCTTTGTTGCTTCACGCGGGGAGCTGGGGGGAGCCTGGCATGTGGTCTCCAGACAAGATGGAATGGGACTGATGTGCCAAGCCCTCTTGGCGCTGCTGCTGATGCCCAGCATGTCCCTCCCTCCAGGGCTGGGTGGGCAGCAGGCCCAGGGTCTGTTCCTTCCTCCCTCTGGCCTTCTGTGTGATGGCCCATGAGTGATGTACAGCCTTCTTTCTTCCTCCCTGAGGGGTGAACTCAGAGAGGTTTTTTTAAAAATCCTGTAGCCTTTCAGCACTGTCCTATTTTTAACACTTGTCTTTTTGTCATTTCTTCCAGTGTCCAAATCCCCTTGTGAAAAGCTAATAAACAAAGGAAGTTTGTCACTGGGCAGCTCGGCATCGCTCCCTCCCCAGACGGGAAACCGCGACAGCTTGCCAATGCTGAACACAAAGATTCTGTACCCAAGTGAGTGTGCATGTCTGCTGTGGCCATCTCCAAGCTGGGGCAGTGGCCAGCCGAGTAGGGCCGTTTGCATGTCGGGGGCGGGGGGGGGGCTGGCGGGATGACTGCTCCTGGCTGGGGTGGGGGGAGCTGGGGCTGAAGGTATTTGAGAGGAGAAGAACCGCCCTCCGTGTGGATGGCCCTGAGCTGGAGCCAAAATGTTCCCAAAATCACCTGTCACTGCAGAGAAATTGCCTCCTTGAGGAAAGACTGTCTTCTGGGGCTGGTGCCTGGTGGAGGCGGGAATCGTTAGCCAACCAGCTTTTACTCAGTGCCTGCCTCGGGCCACAGGCGACCTTGCTCCCTGCCGCCTAGGACTCTGGGAAAGCTGCTCCCTTCTCTCGCCTTCTTCACTGCCTATCAAGGAGAGACGTGTCTCACCCCCTTTCTCCTCGGGAGGGATTCTGTCAGGATCCATGAGGCCACAGCTCTGACTGGACCTTGAATTCTTCCACAGAAAAGTCAGGAAGCCTAACTGGTCTCTCCAGGGAAGCTCCCACTGCGTAAAGGAGAGGCCTAGCTCCAGATCCAGTTGTCCTGAGGCGACTTCTTCGCCTGCAATGTTCAGTAAGGGGCCACTTCCCCAGAATTCTAATCCAAGACTTTGAGCAGTGCAGAACACCAGGGTAGCCTGGGGGTCAGAAGGCAAGGCCAGCAGATGCCTCCTCTGCCCTGCACCAAGGCAGACATTTGGAAGGATGATGGAAGAATCCATCCACGTCATCCCATAGAACCCAGAGCAGCAGAGAGATGGGCATGAGCCACGCCGGAGCATCACAACGGGATTGACGCACATACGTTAAAATCATGTGGTTCTCTAAGACATGCTTCTACAAAGACAGCAGATCTCATGTTGGCATTCGGTGAGATCTAGAACAGAGAAACATGTTCCCCTAAGCTCTTTGTCTGTGTCATGGAAGGCACGCAGATTTCTGGTCTTCCATCCAGACACTTGTGTGTGCCCCTAGTGTGATGGGTCAGGTCTCAGAAGTTATGTATCAGAAATGCAGCCAGAGCAGTCTCTGAAAGGCTTCTCTTCCCTAGCTCAGCCCTTGATAGAAAACTGATCCCTTTTCATTTGGGGATGGTGACAAGAACTGAATACACACATGTGCATGCACACACACATTCACTTGTCCTCAGCTGCCTCCTGGTTAGTTGGCACATGCAGGAGGACACAGATGTGCCATGTCAGGAAGATGCCTCCTTGGGAAACCCAGGCAGTGTGAGGGAGTCACCGCTGCAAATAACTCAGACTGCCCAAAGGTACCAGTCGGCCAGGCTTGTGGAATCTGTGAGGACTAGCCAGTAGTCCTTTGTGTTCCTTATGTGTCCCTGGTCACTGACCACCAGGGCAGCACCACATAGCACCCCTGCCTGCACTAGTGTGGACTACATTCCTAGTGCTTGGCCTTGCCTTGCCTTCACTGAGAGGGAAGAGTTTGGGGGCCGAGAAGGTCACAGAACTACAGCTGACTTACATAGAGGAGAAGGTACAAAAAAATGCTGAATAAAAAAGGTATTACTTATAGAGGTCAAATCATATGACAGTGAACTCAGAAGGATTGGACTAAATGTTTATAATGTTGTATAGTAGCTTCATTGAGTAAAAAAAATTGTCTGAAGCTGGGAACGTCTTTTCTCTGTGAAGTTTTTATTGATAGTGAGAGAGGTTCTCCAAATACCACGTATACCAATGACTTCAAATCCCAGAGTGCCAGGAAGCCTTCTCTGTGAGGTAGACAACGTGAAGAGGATTGGTGTAACCACCCACATGGGAAAACAAACTGGATGAAAAACACATATTGACCAAGCTGTGGCATGCAGCTAGACAAGACAGCGCTTTGAATTAGTCTAATCTGTCAGTTCATACACCTTGGACAGTGAGGTGGGTCTGGAAGGGAGGAGGAAGACAAAGGGCTGAGTCACATTTGAGAAAGTATGTAGTTTTTTTGGTGATCACAAAATCCATCCTTTTAACACCGGTATTCTTTTGGTGGTGCTCTGTCTTTGAGTCATGCAATACCACAATCACAAAAGAGCCAAAATGATGGCTAAGACAAAGGAGAATGGAAATGGTGCACATGGCTGTAAGTCAACTATGAAGCGGTCTAAAAGACTTAATCAGAAGCACTCATGTCTATAAAGAAGTGGGGCTGTGTATCAAGAAAGACGCAACAGACGGCCCACAGGGCACGGGGGTGCTGTCTCTCTAAATAGGGGGAATTGAGAGGAGCTTTCCAGTGAAGTGGGTGGGTTCTTCATGCAGGAGTCACAGAACGTCCACTTGAATCTTGCGAGATGAGGAAGCCTGGAAGGTCGTGACCTCCGCTGGAGGAACGACAAAGCTGAGGCTCCTTCAAAGTACAGAAAGAGAGAGGAGCCCCCTAAAATCACATGTTCTCCCAAACTGTCTGTGAGGATTTAAGTGGAAAGAATCTGTCCCCTAAAATGGACTCTTTCCCCAGCATTCTCCATGGAAAACAGAACACTCAAGAAATCTTTGGAAAATTGCGGGTATTTTTAAAAAGAAAGCTTGATTGGAAATGTAAAAATTGTGCAATTATAGAGTGTTATACCTGGACATGAGGTTCGAGGTCCTCCCATTCCCATGAAAGTCTTTTTTTTTTTTAAGGCATTTGGTGTTAAGTGACTTGCCCAGGGTCACACAGCTAGTCAGCGTCTGAGGCCAAATTTGAACTCAGGTCCTCCTGACTCCAGGCAGGGCTGGTGCCCTATCCACTGCGCCACCTAGCTGCACCCTCCTCCCCCCATGAAAGTCTTTGCAGAACCACCCCTGTTTGCATTCCACATCAAGAGCTGTTTATTTGCTGATGACTGTTCACTGATGACGTTCTTGGCTCCAAAACTGAGAATGTCCAAAACATAACGTCAGCATTGTGACGGGCCAGCAGTCGCGGAGGTACATATCTTTGCGTTTGGCGATGCTCATCTCCTCCCCTTCCCTTGCAGATATCCGGGCTGGGATGTCCGGCTCCTTACCTGGGGGCTCTGTCATCAGTCGTTTGCTAATCAATGCAGATCCCTTTAACACTGAACCAGAAAACTTGTGAGTATACGCAGCAATGGGGACACACTATTAAAGAGATAGGACATATCAAAAAAGGCTGGAGGAATTAGCTGCCTGACTGCGTGGTAATTATGGTGGCTAGGTCTGCACACCAGCTCTGGAGGTACCAGCACGTTGTGCTGGGTACTGAAGATTCTGAGGGGCTCAAACAGAGAGATGGAAAACAAACCTCCAGCCTGGGATGTCCAGAACAAGGCTCCCGTTTCTGTGGCCCTGGCATTTTAGGTCAGGGTTCGGGTTTGAGTGGGCAGGAGGAGGGACAGATCCTAGGTGACAAGCAGCATCCTGGGTGGAAAGGGGGAGGGAGGTAGGAAGGAGGAGGTCCCGTGACCACACTGGGTGGGGCAGCCACTGGGAGGCAAAGCCTGTTGTAAATGTGTGGACTTGAAGAGGTGACGCCCTGGGGTTAGGAGGCTGTCAGCCATCAGTCATGGAGGGGTGTGATTGAGTCTTGGGAGCTTCAGAAATAAAAGGGCTAAGGGAAGTTGTTCTTAATTGGTTTTTAAATGAAATTTTACAGAGAATGTTACACAGAGAAATGTGTCATGAATAACTATTTTGGAATTGGGCTTGATGCAAAGATCTCCCTGGATTTCAATAACAAGCGTGATGAGCACCCAGAAAAATGCAGGTAGGTGAGAGTCCCTTGTGTAGCCACACCCTCGGGCTCTTGGTCACATGGCCCAGGGCAGGCCCAGGGCAGCCCCAGAGCCCAAGTGCTGCTAGAGCAGCTTTTTTTTTTCCAGGACAAAAGGATGTTAGAATAAATCAAATCAAATTCACAGGCATTTGAGTGTCTGCTACAGGTGAGATGTGCAAGGGGATGAGGAGGTTCCCTGACCCCAGGAAGCTCATCAGAGTAATTACTTCTCACTTAGGGATAACAGTAGTGACATATCCTGACCCAGTGAGGTTTTACATGGTTCTTCCCTCTCAGCAACTTTGAAGGCGGTACCAAGGATTATTAGTCCCCTTTTAAAGACATGGAAAATGAGGCCCAGACCTCACCAGTAGGCTCAGAGGCAGGATTGAATCTAGATCTTCCTCATTCCCATGGTGTTTTTGTGCCAACAGAGGATTTGGAGCCAAAAGGGACTTTATGTCCCCAAAGTTTTAATGTATCTTTAAGTTTAGATTTGAATTTGAATCCACCACTCTACCCCCTGTACCACCTTGTCTGGGTGCCAGACAAGGCTCTTTATACAACCCCAGCACCCCCAGTCTTCCACCCACTTCAGACAAAATACTGCATCTTCCCTGCTTCCAGAGGTGTTTGTTTTAGAGTCTGTAGGTGTGAGACGTGGTTTCAATATATCCATGCTAATTGGCCCTGACCCAGAGAAACTGGGTCTAGTTCAGGGCATGGCCTGCGATGAACAAGTAAGAACGTGAATAAACATGAAAACTGTGACCTCAGGCATTGAGAGGTCTGCCTGCTCATGGTTAGCCCGCCACATTTACTGTAGATGGAGCCTTGCTGCCTTGTCTGAACTTGTCTTTGAGAAGGTGGCCGGGTGTTTGGTGTTGTATGGACAGGTCCCCTTCATTCCCCACTGGTTATCCCATTGTCATCTTAGAAAGAAAGGCTTGGGGAGCCAAGATGGCAGAGTACAGGCCAATACCCAGAATTCTCCCAACATTCCCCTCCAAACAACTTTAAAATAATGCTTCAAGTCAAATTTTGGAGTGGTAGCACCAATGAAAGATAAGGGAGACATTTTTCCAGCATTAGACAGCTCAGGAGATCTGCAAGAGAGGTCTGTGACACCAGGGTTGGACACAGGCCCAGAGCTCGGCTGGAGCACCAGCTGTGGGCCCTGAAGGTGGCCACAAATTACGGGGGACCCTTTGCTGGCCCTGGGTGCGGCTGGCACTGATTGACAACTCTGTTGCCTCTACACAGTTCTGTGTCACCCTTTCAGGGCCGAGAGGAGCTCTGGGGATCAGTCACAAAGGAGCAGGGACCTTCCTGGCTAAAGACCAGCATGTGGACCAGGAGAGCAGTGACCATACATCCCCCCCTAGATTCCACCATCTTGGAAGCACAAAAAACTAGATCCGAAAACAGCACAAAAAAGCCTGAAGCTTGGAGCAGTGCCTTGCCACCTCCAGATGAGAAGAGCCCAATGTTAACATAAAGTTCAAAGTGAAGAAACAGGCTGGAAAATGAGCAAACAACAGAAAAGAGAACTTGACCATAAAAGTTACTACAGTGGCAGGGAAGACCAAGACACAAACTCGGAAGAAGACACCAAAGCGAAACCTCAAAGGAAAATGCCCAGCAAGAATTCCAGAAGAGTTCAAGAACGAGGGGAAAGTGGTAGAAGAAAAACTGGAAAAGAAGTGAGAGTGATGCACGAAAATTATGAAAAGAGAATCAACAGTTTGGTAAAAGAGGCACCGAAAAAAAAAACACTGAAGAAAATAATATCTTAAACAACAGTAATGGTAAAAGAGATATAAAAAATTCACTGAAGACAAAAACTCCTTAAAAAGTAGAATTATGGGGCAGCTAGGTGGCACAGTGGATAGGCCCTGGCCCTGGAGTCAGGAGGACCTGAGTTCAAATCCGGCTTCAGACCAAACACTTGACACTTCCTAGCTGTGTGACCCTGGGCAAGTCACTTAATCCCATTGCCTAGCCAAAAAAAAAAGACTTATAAAAAGCAGAATTGGCCAAATGGAAAAAGAGGTGCAAAAGCTCAATGAAGGAAATTATTCCTTCAAAATTAGATTTGGGCAAGTGGAAGCAAATGACATAAGACATCAAGAAACAATGAAACAAAGTCAAAAGAATGAAACAAATAGAAGAAAATATGAAATATCTATCTCATTGGAAAAATAACTGACCTAGAAGATAGAGCAAGGAGAGACAATTTAAGAATTATTGGACTACCTGAGAACAATGATGTTAAAAAAAAAAGAGCCTAGACATATTTCAGGAAATTTTCGAGGAAACTTCCCTGATATCTTAGGCCCAAAGCATAAAATGGAAATTGAAAGAATGCCCAGAAATATGATAGCCAAATTCTAGAACTCCCCAAGTCAGAGAGAAAATGTTGTAAGCAGCCAGAAAGAAACAGGTCAGAGGCACAGTCAAGATTGCACAAGATTTAGCAGTTTTCCCATTAAAGGAGCAGGAGCCTGGGAGTATGATAGTCCAGAGGGCAAAGGAGCTAGGATTACAACCAAGAGTCAACTACGCAGCAAAACTGAGTGTAATCCTTCAGGCGAAAAAATGAATGTTTAATGAAACCGGATTTACAAGCATTTCTGATGAAAAGACTGGAGCTGAATAGAAAATTTGACATTCAAACACAAGATTCAAGAGAAGCATAAAAAAGTAGAAATAAAAGAGAAATTATATGGACTCAATAAAGGTAAACTGTTTACATTCCTATATGGGAAAGTGGTACATGTAACTCGTAAGAACCACATTAATGAATTGTTGGTGGAGTAGTGAACTGGTCCAGCCATTCTGGAGAATAATTTGGAGCTATGCCATCCAAAGGGCTATGAAACGGTGCATACGCAGCAATCCTAGGTCTGTATCCCAAAGAGAGCAAAGAAAAAGAACAAGGACCTATATGTACAAAAATATTTATAATGGCTCTTTTTGGGGTGGCAAAGAACTGGAAGTTGAGGGGATGCCCATCAATTGGGGAATGACTGAACAACTTGTGGTATATGATTGTGATGGAATACTACTGTGCTACAGTAAATGACAAGGAAAGTCATTTCAGAAAAAAACATGGCAGGAGCGAAAACTAAGTGAAAAGAATCGGGAGGCCAGTATGCACAGTAACAGCAGTATTGTAACAATTATCAACCGTGAATGATTTGGCTACTCTGATCAATACAATGCTCTTAGACAATTCCAAAAGACTCACGATAAAATTGCTTTCCCCCTTCAGAGAGAAAATGGATGAACTCTGAATGCAAATTGAAGTGTAATTTTCCCACTTTTTAAATTTTTTTTTGTATTGTGGGTGATATGGAAATATGTTTTGCATGATTTCACATGTATAATTGATAAATTGTTTGCCTTCGGGCAACTAGGTGGCACAGTGGATAGAGCATCGGCCCTGAAGTCAGGAGGACCTGAGTTCAAATCCGGCCTCAGACCAAACACTTGACGCTTACTAGCTGTGTGACCCTGGGCAAGTCACTTAACCCCAATTGCCTAAAAGCAAAAAAAAAAAAATTGTTTGCCTTCTCAATGGGTAGGGGTGGGGTGGGAGCAAAGGAGAGAATTTGGAACTCAAAGTTTAAAAAGGAAAGGATGTTTAAAAATAAGTAAATAACAGATATTAATAAAATGAAAAACCTTTCCCAGCCTGCTCTTACCCCGCTGCCATTCCCTTCCCCATTTAGATTACCTTCCATGTACTCTGGGTACATACTTTTTTGTACCCACTTGTTTACACTTGTTTTCTCTCGTTAGACTACGTGCTCCTTGGGGGCGGGGACCCTGGTTGTTTGTTTTATTTGTTTTTTTCATTTCCTTATATCCTTCCTACTTAGCACAGTGCCTGGCACATATTAAGTGTTTGGTAAATAAATGTGTGCTAAAGGGAAAAAAGGCCGCCATCCAACATTAAAGTTGAGGTTTTGGGCGTCGTCTGGAAACTCTTCTCCCCTTGGAAATGAGGAATGACTCGCTGAGCAGGTGTGCTCCATTCCCAGAGCAGGGAGGGAGGATTCCACTCAGGATGGGTCCTGCCTCTCATATTTGGCCCCTCTTCTCTAGCCATCTCTCCTCAGAGTCAGTCGATGGGGCCCCATGAGTGTGTGTATGGAAACTGACAGGAAAGCCTTCTGGTGGGCATGTGCTCAGTGGTGGCTTTGGGCACAGGAAACTCAGTGTGGGCATGGCGACAGGCGCACAGGCATAGCTCACTCTTGTTCTGTTTTCCCTTCTCAGGAGCCGTACCAAGAACATGATGTGGTATGGGGTTCTGGGGACTAAGGAATTACTACATCGCACCTATAGAAACTTGGAGCAGAAGGTCTTGCTGGAGGTGAGAAGGATGCTCCTTCCCCTGACCCTGGCCTGCTCATCCTCGGGGGACATCCCTTGACAACATGGGGTGACGGGCTTCCGCTGCCCCTGCCACCCTCCCTGTGCCTCTCTGTCCCCATGCGCGATGTAGAGGACCCTTCTCCACACCCAGGCTGGGGCCTCCGCACCGCTCGCCTCCTCACTGGGCTCCTCTCCCTTCAGTCCATCAGCCATAGGGATCTGACCTTGGTACTTCCCTGTTCACTCGTCTCCAGAGGCTTCCTGTTGCGTGGCCTCTGGAATGAAACAGCCTTCTTTGGCTTTTAAAGAGCCCTTTGGGCCAGCCGTTGGTCAGCTCCTCGGCCGGGCCCCTCTGCCTGGGCTGCTCTCCCTCCTTAGCTGCCTCTTTCCTCCTTCCCCACATTCCTGGAGTCTCGCCCCTTTGTCTCTAGTTGTGTTTATTCCCTTCATGCTTTAGATACTTCTTTTTGAGGCTGCGTCTGTGGGCCTCCCCTCTCCCCATGCCTTCCTAGGCCCGCTGTCCATGCGTTGTCAGTATAAGGAAAAAGAGTCGTTGTTTCTGGGAGGAGGAAGCTGGTGCTGACCTCAGGGCAGTACGGCCCCCTCTCTTCCTGCTCCTTCCCCCCCACTCTGCTGCCACGTGGCTCTCCGTGGGTCATCTGTCTGATAACCAGGCCCTAGGGGCCCAGCAGCCTCCCAGGGCTCTGCCCTCAGGCCTCAATCCCGCCATGGCAGTCTGCTTGGTCACAAGGTGATGTGTCCTTTCTTTCTGTCCCCTCTGCCTCCACTTGGCTCAGTGCGACGGGCGTCCCATCCCGCTGCCCAGCCTTCAGGGTATCGCTGTCCTCAACATCCCCAGCTATGCCGGAGGCACCAACTTCTGGGGAGGTACCAAGGAAGATGACGTAAGTGGGGCTGGCTCCGTGAGAAGCACCTGGGGGGCCCCTCGTCTTCTCAATCCCCTCTGCATGTGGCTCCTTCTCCCAGGCTTCCCTCTTCACCTGTGCTCCCCCTCCCTGCATCTTCAGCCTCTTCCTTGTCCCTGGCTTACCCCCACCCCAACACCCCACTCCCCCTTAAGAGAGCCTTCCCTCGGCCTTGCCACCCCCTCCACCTGCCTCTACTCCCTCTCCAGGCACTTGCCATCCTTGGCATCTGCTCCACCTACTCTAGAGGGCCCAGGGACCCCCGGGATTGTCAGATCTCAGGGCTACCAATGCCTGATGCTCCCTTCTTCCTCCTTCTCACCAGCCCCCCTCCATTCAATATGCTTAGCCTTTATTAAGCCACAGCTGGTGCAGGCCCTGTGCCGGCCCCTCCCCCACTGCCCCTGGATGAGCAGGGCAGTCCCCCTGGGCCCTCCCCTGGCATCACGTGGCCACCGAGGCATTCGTCTTGTCCAGTTGGTTCTCACAGACGTCCTGGCTTGGAAGAACCATGGGCCTGGGCTGGACCTGTTTTCCCAGTCCTTCCTGGCCCCATGTGCCCTGAAGCGGCTGAATCAAGGCTTCTTGATGCAGGAATTGTGATGAGCTCTGTGGGCTTCTTTCAGCCTCTGCAGGGCAGTGTCCCCTTAAAGGTGACAAGGCCACGTCCCTCCCTCCTGCTGCCCCTTACTTCCAGGGTCTCTTCCATGCAGCGGTGGCCTCGTTACCTCCACATGCCCTGAAGCCCTCTGGTCACTGGCAGAAGTGGGAAGAGCAGGCGGCCTTGCCCAAGGAGGCACTGCCTGACCACCCACTGCAGGTTCGGCCTCCCTTTCAGACGTTCACAGCCCCGTCCTTCGATGACAAGGTCTTGGAAGTGGTGGCTGTCTTTGGCAGCATGCAGATGGCCGTCTCCCGTGTCATTAATTTGCAACACCACCGGATTGCCCAGGTAATCATGCCAGAGTCCTGTTTGAGGGAAACACATTTTTTTTAGTAAAGAGATAAACACATTTTAAAAAATTGTTTGTGTCAAAATCCGATGTCCAGTAAAGAAAAAAAAGTCATTTTGTAAGGTGATCAGTGAGACTGATCAAGCAGGACCGTAAAGTGTTAGGGAGCAGTGCTTCCCCCCACTCCCAGCCCCTGCCGGATACGTCCAAGGCCGTACAGGCCAGTGGCCAAACCGGGATCACGAGTGAGATCTCCCAAATCTCCTGCAGAGACCCTGAGAGCCAGCCCTGGGACGGTCCAGTGGCAAGAGCCAGGACTCCCAGACTGGGGGCAGCAGCTGCCAGTACCTCTTACTGTGCCCAGTTTGGCCTTTGGAGGCTTAGAAACTCCCCTCCAAATTGGGGTGGACATTAGGGGTCAGTGGAGAGGCCTCTGCCCTGGGCCTTGCCTGTCACTGCCCATGGAGACAAGCTGACGGCCGGTGTGCCGGGGCAGAGAGGAGGAGCAGTGTCCAGCTTAGATATCCTGCCTGTGTGGCTTTGGGCCCCTGAGGTCAATCCCTTACAGCCCGACGTCTGCGAGCCTGGGTCCTGTGACACCTGGCCTACCTTGCTCTCCCCACAGCCCAGGACTTGTATTCACTGGGCAGGATCCCAGTACGGAGATTCAGGGGTGGTGCTAGTGGCCCCTTGGGCACCACAGCCTTCGTCATCCTGCTGATTCCCCAACCCGTGGGGTCCGGGGCACTTCTTTGGTTTGGTTTGGTTTTTAATACGAGAGTGTCTCCACCTTCCTCAAGGGTTGCCCCAGTTTTAAAACATTTCTAAAAGCAAAACACACATGAATTCCATATTAATTTTAAATGTAAATAACGTGCCATTCAGTACTTTGGAGAAAAGCGGCGGTGACAGAAAGGGTGAACATGGTGGCCAGCCATGTAAGCCGTGGTCCCCAGGGCCTGAAATCAGTGCCCTGGAGTGACCGGAGGGTCAGCAGAAGTAGCAGGACCTCTGAGGTGGAATTCATGTCCCTGCCCACCTGACCTTTGCCCTTGGAGACCCAGGAGAGGGCAAGAAGGCTATAGCCAGGGAATATCAGCCAGGACCCTTCAGGGGAGCCTGAGGAAAGGGGGAGCCCTCGCTAGCTTCCTGTCCATAGCCAGGTGCGTGGGTCATCCGTGGGCCTGGTATCTTCCCTAGTGTCGAACTGTGAAGATCGCCATCCTGGGCGATGAGGGCGTCCCAGTACAGGTGGATGGAGAGGCCTGGATCCAGCCCCCCGGCTACATCCAGATTGTTCACAAGAACCGGGCACAGACTCTGACCAGGGATCGGGTAAGGCCAGTGGGATCTTCTGTCAGGCTTCACCACAGACACTGCTGCCCCTGGGGATCAAGAGCTGACTCCCAGAGGCGGGAGGGGTCTGGTGAGCTGCTCTCTGCTTTCCTCACCCTAGAAGAGGTTGCTCCCCCACCCACCCCCAGGGGAGAATCTTTTATCTTCCTCATGGGTCCCGTACTCCCCTAAAGTCTTCCTGTAGTATAAGCTGGTGGCCAGAGCCTGGGAGTTGGTAAGTTGGGACCAGCCCTCCGATGCCTGGCCTGGCTCACCCCCTGGCCTCCTGTGAGCTCTTAGAGCTAAGGGGGCGTGGTAGCATGGGCTTTGTGCCCGGCACGATCCCGATGGAAAGGTGACCTGTGGAAAGTCCCAGCAGGAGACCGCTGGCCTGTTTGCCAATGTGGTGAAAGGATTTGTTCTAGCATTTTTTCAGGCAAAAATGGAGGGAGGAGGGGACCAGGCCAGAAACCTCCAAGATCATCACCTTAGGCCTCAGCTCCATCACCCATTTCCAGGTGTGAGCATCATATTTTAGAGAGTGAATAGAAAGCATTTGTTACTGACTTTGTGCTAAGCAAAGCAGAGGCAGCCCTGCCCTCCTGGTGCTTACATTTGAACAGTAGAAAGGTATAGGGCTGGTACCTAGGCTTGTAGGCAAGGAGGGGACACCCCATTCAGGAACAGTGAAGAGTGGGTTTGATCGTGCTTCCAGAAGGGGATGGTGCGGGGAGAAGATGGCAGAGGGACGGGATGGACAGGAAGTGTGTCTAGAGCTCTCACTGACAGAACAGCCCAGGTCATGGGGCCTCAAGGACCCTAGCATTAAGAGACATGCTTGTCTTGTCCAGAAACAAGCTGGGAGGACAGTTGGGTGGCACCCGATTCCCTTGCATTCTAGGCATTTGAGAGCACCCTAAAATCCTGGGAAGATAAGCAGAAATGTGAGCTCTCACGCCCGCCCTCCTTCTCTCTGCACCCTGAGATCATGTCTGAAGAGGAGTCCACACAGATGCACCAGTTTGGCCAGGCAGCGGGGGCCCTCATCCACAGGTGGCTTTTGCTCTCTCCCCCCTTTGCCTCCGCCCCGGGGCTGGGTTCCTACACTGGAAGGCAGACAGGCAGGCAGACAGGCCGGCCAGCCCTAAGACACAGCGGTCCCCTTCTTCCTCCTCTGCTGTAGTTGTCCTGGCCAGAACATCACTTGCACAGGGATATTTCCTAAACTGGATTTAATAAGGGTGAAAATAAAGAAAAACTGGCCCGTCTTCACTTTTGGGGAAGGGGCAGGCCCAGGGTGCGTAAGGTGTGGTAGATGCACCCCTGGGCCTATTTGTCTGGATGAGATTGTCCCCAAGGTTGTCCCCTGTTGCCCTCACCCCCATTCCTGAAGGTCTCCACTTGGGGTTCCCGCAGATACAGGGATCCCCATTTGGGCCCAGGGGAGACAGAATGACGCCAGAGAGGAACCTGGGCTGCCGTGACCCGGGCCTCCAAGCTTACAGCGCTTCGTTTGGTATACCTTGGCAAGCAGGGACCCCTGGGGGCCCCCCTCCCGCCTGTGCCCCGCTCAGGCCTAACGGGGTGCCTGTGTTTCTCTTTCTCTCTTAAGCATCCGGGAAATAGCTCAGTCGTGTCAAGATATGGAGCAGGAACTGGCCCATGCCGTCAATGCCAGCTCCAAATCAATCAACAGAGTCTATGGGAAATCCAAGGCCACTGAGGTACATCCTTGCTCCGGCGCCCTGGCCTGCCGCGCTGCTGCGGCCCCTCGGCCCCACTCCCGGGCCCCTCACAGTGTTTTCCTCCTTTCCAGGGGCTAAACTGCACTTTTGTCCTGGAAATGGTAAACAACATCCGTGCCCTCCATAATGAGACCGAGCTGCTGCTCACTGGGAAGATGGCCCTGGTATGTGGGGGAGGGGCACCCCTTGTGTGGCGGCCTGGGCCAGAATCGGGAAGACAAAACAGGCTGGCGTCTCACCTCCACTTGGTTAGCAGTGTGACCCTAGACGAGTCGCTGAATCTCTGAGCTTTGATTCTTCGCCTACAAAGTGGGGGTGGTGATGCCCTCAGTATTGACCCAGTGGCAAAGCTCCGAGGAGATCTTGTCTGTATGGGGCTTGAGAGCTTAAAAGTCCAAGGCATTGGGGGTGATGGTGTATTCCCTGAGGATGCTGAAATTATTTCACTTTCTCAGTCCTGTGAACAGCCAGGACAAGAGTAATAGTCCAAAGTCCATTGGCTTCCTTGTTGAGAATTAGGTGGCCCTCACGTTGCCACCGCAGCTGCTCATGTCGGGTCAGAAGAATGGGCACCTGGGCCAGGATGCTGGTGAGGCCCAAGGAGCCTGGGGCTCCTGCCCACACTGTGCCCCAGGAATATGGCACTGCTTCCTGCCATTGCTGTGCCCCCCCACTCCAGAGGAGCAGGCCCCCAAAAGGGGACACCCCAGCCCACGCCCATGACTCAGCAGTTGTTTTTCAAAATTTTTATATTTATTATTCTTTTGGCTTAGCCGTCACTAATTTTCTTTCTATTTCCTCCCCACCTCCCAACTGAACAAAAAGAAAAAGGCAAACCCTCCTACCCAGTCTAAGGAGGCCAAGGAAATTCCACCCGTGCCCTTGTCCTGTGTCTCGGGCTCTGTGGGCCAGCAATGTGCTTGTCCTGCTGGTTCTGCCCCCTTCCCTCTACATCAGCTCACAGCACCATAGCCCCCACCCCATTTGTAGGATCTGTCATTCCCCAGGTGATGGGCACCCCTCGGTGGGCAGCTCGTGGGCACCCCAGAAATCATGGCTCCAGATATTGATGTCCACAGGGTCGTTTTCCTCTTTGGGGCAGAGACCTCGTGGTGGCATCTCCACGGGTCCATGAGAGTCTTTTGCGGCCTTGTTCCTGGTATTTTCTAGACCATCTGGGCCCATTCCCCACTGGGATTTGAAACAAGACCTAGCTTGAAGAGGGGTTTAGTCACCAAGCAGACCCCAAAGGGAGATGCTGGGTGTGGCCTTGTACTCGACACATGCGATTTGCTTCTTAGGCTGGGGAACATGTATGAGAAAGAGCTGCACTGGCATCCTGCCAGCCCAGGCTCATGGGTTTGGCCCCCTGGGCCCCCCGGCTACAGAGCTAACAGACACATCCTTTCTTCTCTCTGGCCACGGTGCAGCAGCTTGAGCCGCCCCACAAGGAGCAGCTCGGGGCGGCCCTGGCGGACATGGACCTCCAGCTGAGAAGGCTGGCCGACATTCCCTGGCTGTGGCAGCTCATGGAGCCCAGTGATGACGAGGTACGTACGGGGCGGTGGGCACTGCTCCCCCCAGTGGCCAGGCAGGCCTGCTGGCCGCCAGTCACCCCGCGTTCCTCTGTCTAGTGAGGACGAAGTACTTCACATGCAGTGAGTATGTACGGTGTGGTGGGCACTGCCCTGCCCGGGCAGCCTGCTGGCCGCCAGTCACCCCGACACTCCCTTTGTCTGCTTTTGTCCCCCAGAATCCCACGATGCTGGACTTCAACAAACGCGGCCGCAGTGGCAAATTTCGCCTGGTGACCAAATTCAAAAAGGAGAAAAGCAGCAAGAACAAAGAGATACGCGGCAGCAGCAGCGGCACCAGCCTCCCTGGTAGCTAGCCTCTGCAAGCGAGCGCACACTCCCCACCCGCCTCTGAGGCCCGTCTCCCCCCACCCCCACAGGCCGGATCTTCCTCGCTAACATTTCATTTCTAGGCTTGAGACCCCATAGATTGCCCCGTGTGTGCTCTGTCCGAGGGGAACTGCCCCGGCCCTGACCAAATGGGAAGAGGCCTCCAAGTTTCTGCCATTGTCTGCCCGGGTGGGGGGGAGAGGAGGTAACCTTGGCAACCTCAGAGACCACAGTGACTTTGGGACACAGGTCTGCAAGCACCCTCCAGGCCCCTGCTGCTCCTGCTTCCTCTGTGGGGATTGATGATTTCCCTCTGATCAAATCCCTCCTCAAATCAATTGACGTCCACAGGGTTGGGTGCACCCAGAACTCAGATCCCATTGGGAAAAAAGTGGCAGACTGGCCCATGAGGTCTCCCCATTGCACAGTTCATCTGGCCCTGGTCATCTGCCCTGGGTGCATCCCAGCCTCACAGTTTGCCTCTGCTTTGGGCTTGGGGCTGCCGCCATCTTGCTCTCAGGAAAACGCTCTCCTTTGCTCCCAGGAATCAGAGCAAGGGGCTTCTCTCCCTGAGATAGGGTCCTGTCTGATTTTCCCTTTTAAAATGCTAGTCCAGAGCCGGAGGTTCTGTGAGTGAGTGCAGTCAGTCCTTCTTCCGTCAGATACGGTCTTAACCACGACATCTGGTGTGCTGAGCCCTGCTCCAAGTTAGGTGTAATAACTCCTCAGAAAGGCCAAGCAGAGTCTTGGCTGGTTGCGTTTTAAGCCACATTTTCCTATTATGACTAAATAATTGAAGGTGTCCTGTACAGACCACCTCCACCCTTCAGATAAAGTCGCTTTAAAAGAAAATAAAATATAGTTGTGGGTCTAAAAGTACCAGAGTTGCCATGGAAGCCATGGCCTAGGTTCTGGACAAACTGGCAGCTTCTTCCTTCTTGGGTGGAGGAGGGGATGGTCAGGAAGCTGAGGACTGACTGCATTTGCGAGCAGGTGCCCCCTTTGGGGGGGGGGTCTTCCCTTGCCTCTCAGACACCCCCAGTCAATGATCTTGGCACTGGGTGGCGGGCGCTGGGCTCCCTTGGTTTCCTCCTGAGGCTTCGGGTACACTGGGCTTCTCTCTCGGCTCTCAGCTCCCTCCTGCTTTTCCGTCTGACAGTTCACGTCTGGGGCACGGAGGAGGTTGCGGCCTGGCTTGAGCACCTCAGTCTTTGTGAGTATAGAGATATCTTCATCCGCCACGACATCCGGGGCCCCGAGCTCCTGCAGCTCGAGCGGAGGGACCTCAAGGTACTTTCCCCTTGTTCATGTCTTGGGGGGAGCCCCTGGCTGTGTCCATGGGGCATGCAGGTTGCACGTTGGGCTTTTGGTCAGGGCCCAGGCTCTGCCTCGAGGAGTTTCCAGTCTAGGGGAAGAGAAATCAGTGTGCCTGAAAAGGGCCCAGAATGCCGAGGAAGAAGCCGGGCCGGTACCCTGGTGATGGGGGTGGGGGCTGGAGGCTGGGGGCTGGAGCAGCCCAAGTGGGTGAGGGTGACTGGGCAGGCTTGGGCAGAGCTGGACTGCAGCCTCCTGCCACACGGTGCTGCCAAGCTTGGGCCTGGGGGCCAGCACAGGGAGGTCTGGGGCTGTGGGAGGGTCATTCGTGAAGGCCTAGTCAACGGGGAGGTGGTCGTTTTTTACAGGCTTTCCTCCCGTGTTGCTCCCCGGTGAGTCCCAGGGGACCAGCCTGGGTGGCCTGATGGTGCCAGGCTGGGCCTTGGGCCGCTCCCGGCTGGCTCTGTGGTTGCTCTCCCCAGGCTCCATGGTGGGCTTTCCTTTTGGCTTTCAGGACCTCGGGGTGACCAAAGTGGGCCACATGAAGAGGATCCTCCATGGAATCAGGGAGCTGAGCCGCAGCACTCCTGCCAGCGAGGCCTAGCCAGCATCTTCGCAGCATGCTCCTGCCCCTCCTCCCCCCACTGAAGCATCCGCCACAGGGCCTTCTGGGCAGGGCAGCTAGCAAAGCTTATATCATGGTGCTACTCTCTTCCACGTGGGTACAGCTCATCAGGAGGACCCTTGCCCGCCCAGTGGATGGAGGACACTTGTGAGTGCTCACCTCCAGCCCCCGGGCAGGTCTTAACCACAGCAACACAGCTACCTTCCAAACAGAGGCCGGCATCCTCATAGCTGCGAGAGCCTTCACAGCAGGCAGAACTCATGGCTGCCAGGGATGCTCTAGAGCCCAGCTCTGCCCCGCAGCAGGGGTGAGCAGCCCCTGGGCTCCACAGCTTTGCAGTTGTTCCTGTGACCCCTCCCCAGAGGATCCAGCGTGATTGTCCTGGCTTTCCAGGTCATGGGTCTAAGGCCGATCCATGTTGCAGCCGGGAGGAGAACGTGGGCTCTCCACCTCTATCCTGGGGCTTCTCAGAAACCATCCTCACTGCTCCTCCCCCGCCAGCAGAGCCCCGCTACCTTCGCAAGCTCTCCAGCCCGGAAATCCTTCTCCCACCAAGCATGTTTTAGAGAGTCAGGAGAACATAGTCTCCGTTCCTGTGGGGATGGAGTGAAGGCACCTCATGTCAACGAGGGAAACATCCCACCCCGCCTCTGGCAGGCTTGCTTGGCAGTGCTGACCCCCTTGAGAAGGAGGCATGGGGCCCTCTCATCAGCTGAAAGCATTGTGCTCTTTCTCTCTTGACCATTTTAATGGGCATGGAAACCAGAAGAGAAGCATGTGCCTGGCCGCCTGTTTATTCACCCCGTCACTGTGGCTCCTTGCCTCCTTCATCTTTCACAAGATCTCACTCTCAGGAGGGTCACAAATCCGTTCTATTCCAGCGATATTTATGAAGTACAGCTGTGTCCCGTGCAGGGGGTGTTTGGGGGGGGGCTGGGGGTCCAAAGACCAGGCTGTCCCTGTCCTCACGGAGCCAACAAGGTCGACGGGAACAGAGTCTGGCCACGTCAGGCACCGGAGGCTGGAGAGATCACACCTGTGCTCGCCTCTCGCTGACTCCCGGCTTACCTGATCATCACAGATCATTAATGAACCAGTGCAGAACTGCTTTTGAGAAAATTAATGAGCAGAAGTGACCAGAAGCTACGACCAGCGAGGAGAGTTGAGCTGCATGTCGGGTAGTCAGACATCGGGATCCCGTGTTTCTAGGACAGCTGATCCCATCGAGCTTGAAGGCCGTGAGAGATGAGCCAGTATTTGGGGGTCCTGGGCCCCTCCGGGAAGCAGTCTGGGGACACCTGTGTACCCCTTCTCAGAAGCCTGGCCCTAAGTGCAAACAGCAGGATACAAAGGATTTTCGAGGAGCCAATTGTATCGATAGACAGTCACCAAAATATTTCATAACTTTGACAGGCCACAGGTTAAGCACCCCTGGTGTAGACCCAGCCCCTCATTTTACAGAGTAGGAAACTGAGGCCATACTGACCTAGGTTGGTGAGTGGGCTTGATGCCTCGTGATCCTAAAACCTGCCCATGGAATAGAAGGCAGGCCCCCCAGCCCTGGCCAGCTGAGGGCAGAGTCCATCCCTCCTGTCCAGGGCTTGCCAGTCCCCTCTGTCTTCACACACAGTCGTCTGGCCACACTTGGCTTATTCTGTGCAGAAGGCCGTGTTCTTGGGGACATCCCCCTGCGTTTGCTGTTCTGCCAAGCAACAGCCTTGGTCTGTGGAGAGAAGGACCTTCCAGGCCAGTGCTTCCCTGGAAGTGCTTCACTCCTCCCCAGGTCAGGAGTGCAGAGGGAGGGCTCTGGCACCTGGCGCCACTGGGCGGGGGCATTCGTTTCCAAAAGGGCTGTCATCGTTGGATTAGAATCTTGTGCTGGGCATTCCCAAGCACCACCTCCCCTCCCCAGACACACACACACATAGATACACATTGTCACACACTCACACTGTGACTGTCACACACAGTCACACACATGCTGTCAGACACACACAGATAACAGAATGTGACTGTCACACACAGATACATACACTCACTGTGACACATACACAGATACACACTCACACTGTGACTGTCACACACGGATACATACACTCACTGTGACAGACACTGTCACACACATACACAGATACACACACTGTGTCACACACAGTCACACACGGATACATACACTCACTGTGACACACACAGATACACACTGTCACATATACTGTGACTGTCACACACACTTTCAGACACACACAGATACACACACTCACTGTGACACACATGCTGTCTCACACACAGCCTCCTGGGCAGACCGCCACAAAGCATGACTGACTTGGCCAGCAGGAATGAGTGGCTGCAGGATCCCAGACCTGGCCTCCTGATCCAGCTTAGCATCTTGAGGGCAGAACTCTCAGTCCTCTGCTGGTCCTGGGGCATTGCCTTCAGACCTACGGCATCTAAAATTAGACCAAATTACCAACATAAAAGTTTTGGAAAATGTCCGATTTCCTTCAGGAATGTCTCATATTTTGCAGGGCTTCCAGTGTGGTGCCAGGCATGCTGCGTTGCCCTCGGGTGACATTGCAGCTCTGCTCCCACCTCGGAGGGGACAGGGTCCTACCCTCTTGGCCAGAGCATTCACCGCAGGCATCCTGACCACTAGGCTTTCCTGTGATGGTCACCTCCTAAAAGGGAGTGGGGCAGTGATGCTGGTGCTACCTGCCTGCTAGAATGACCTGAAGAAAGTTCTTTAAATGGGAACTTTTCTCTATTGGTACTGAAAACAGAATCGAATTTATCAGAGAAGTTTTTTTAGCCTGCCGTGGCTAAGTCAAGGTAAAACTTGGGAACCCAAACCCAGAAGAGGCACCTTGGCTTTGGAGTAGACAATGTGCCTAGAACCCAGGAGGCCCCGGGTCTGGATGCTGCCGCAGAAGCTTGCCCACTCTGCAATTCTGGGTGAGCCACTTGGGTTCTGTGTGCCTCAGTTTCCTCACCGGGGTGTCTGAGGTTCTGGTGCCATGACATGTCAGCTGTCTGCTCAGGAGTCCTGAGTAAACAAACATCCTTCTTTACCTTTCAGTGTCCATAGCAGCGGTTGGCTGGGGGGCAGTCGTGGCCTCATTATATCACGCCATTTCTTTAGTGAGTTCTGATGTGGCAGAAGGAGGCGGCAGAAGCAGAGATGGGCCCTTTCTTAGCAGTCCCGGTCAGCATCAGGGGGCTCTTGACCCGCCAGCAGATGTGCCAACTGTCCAGTCCATGGCTTGGCTGGCTCCCTTGGTTTTCTCTCGTTGCGTGGTCTACATTGTGGTCCCTTTGCACACGGGCGTCTCCAGGTCAGCTTGACCACCCTTGTGGGACAGGACAGGAAATTTAAAAATTAAAACTAAAACAGAATGAGGTTTTCCAGTTCTGAGCAGATCTCGGTTCCCTGCTGTTGACATTTCCCAGTAGAGATGGAATTGGATGTCTTCATTACTTCATTAGGGCTCCATTCCTCCCATCAGCAATGGGGAAGGTTGGCAACAAAGGACTTCCTTCCGGAGCCGCAGGACCATGACTAGGCCCAAGCTTAGCCAGGCGCAGTTGGGGAGTTTGTCTGCCACGAGAAGGAGCAGCGTACAGGAGCCTGCGCTCAGCGGATTATTAGGAAGTGGTTCTTTCTGTGAGGCAGAAGCCTGCTTGGCCATCCCCTTGCTCCTGGCCCTGCCTTCTGGAGCCAAGCAGAGCAGATCGGATCCCTCTTGTTCTGGCTACCGCCCCTCCCCCCAGGTCTCCTCTCCCGGACACGCTGTAGCTTATCCAACAAACAAACATGTCTCCTAACGTTTCCACGTTGTCATCTGACGTATTCCTGTCAACTGCCCCTTCCAGCTTTGTGTTGTCCTTGGACCTGATCCTTGGCATGCCTCAGCAGCCTTCATTCCACGTGCTTGTCATCCCCAGGTAGGGCCCATTGGCCCTTCTTGAAAGCCTGTGGTCTGGTCTCTGCAGCCAGACCGTTCCCGCAGCTTTTCTGCAGTCCTCATCTTTCCATCTTGGCCCAAGTGTGAGGTTGGATGCAGGGTCTTCGGGCTTCCTTGATCTGTCCCCCCCGTCACTTGACCCTGCCCAAAACAAGGCCTTTGTTGGCCAGGCCTGGCTTGTTCTCTGGCTCTTCAAAAAAATTAGTATTTCAAGCATCTTTTTTTAAATTATTGATACATTTTGTTTGGACATTCCGTTCATTTCTGGATATCCCCAACGGCTGCCCGGCACACTTTCTCTGACAACAGATGTTTACAGAAACGGTTTGTTCAGCATTCTGTGCCCACGGCTCCCCACGTTTTCATCTTCTCCATGGCCAAGCGTGGCCGTCGGAATTAAAAAGCAGTTCAGCAAAATTAGCCAATGCGTCGACTGAATCTGGTAGGGTTTGCCGTGTCCCATCAATGGGGCTGCGTGTTCCCATCTCTTCCTTTGAGCCAGACTTGGTCGTTAGAATTACCTTGAGTTTCATTTCAGTTTTTTGTTATTTCCATTCGCGTTATTGTTGTGGCTCTGCTTGGGCCGCTCTCCTCACTCTTGATCCATTCATCTAAATCCCCCCCGGCTTCTCTGCATTCTCCATAGCCGTCGTTTCCTGTGGAGCACCGATGTTCCACCGTGTTCATGTGCTCCAGTTTGTTGAGCCTTTCCACGGTGGATGGATGCCTCTCTGCCCTGAGGCCCTCCTGTCGCTGGACCCCGTTCTGGCTCTCACTCATTGCCTTGTCCGGAGGGTCCTGTTGAGTAATTGAGCTTGGTCAGTGTGGGCCATTCCCTCCGCTTATGCAGATCGCAGCCCCTCGGGGCAGCTCCAGCTGAGATGTTGAACCTGCCCTGGGCCTCTCTGACTCGAGGGCTTCCTTCTCTGGGTGCTGATTTGTCACTCTGTGCTTGGCAGACATCAAACTTGATGTCACCTAGGATAATGCAGTCTACTTCCTTCCCTTCCTGAAAATCTGGACCTTTGCCATCCTCTGCCAGTTCCCATTCTCTTTTTTCCAGTATCCCTGAGCGAGAGAGGTTTAGCAACCGTGCTCTTTCAGGACCTGGGGGCGTAGCTCCGTGCTTCCTCAGGAGTGCAGCAACCATTGATCCGCACCGGTTGTATATGGCAGAGATTGGGAGGTGTACAGAGAGCAGCCCCTCGGCGGGGCCTCAGAGAAGACCTGGTGAGGTTTCCTGGGGGTGGAGGAGGAAAGCAGGCCAGGAGGCCCGTGTGCAAGAGGACCCACTGAATGACTGTCATAGATGTAAGATGATGGAGGGGGAAGACCAGGATTGGAATAGGAATGGGGAGCAAAGGATTCAGGTTCTGGTTACAGGCCCGCTGTGAGCCTTTGGTTCCTTATCTCTGAACTGACAGTCAGGTGGGAGGAGCCACTGAGTCTAGGCACATGGCAGAGGAATATCGGATGGAGAAGGCTGACCGGCGCAGCCCTGCCCTCCCCATCAGGATTCCAGCCCAGAGAGCAAGGGTAGGAGCAGAGGGGCTTCAGAGAGGAGAATTTCTCAAGTTTCAAAGGGATTGGGTCGGGAAGGAGCCCATAAAGTCTCTTCCCAAGAAAATCAGAATTGGGGTGAGAGAAGTGTCTGTGGGTCACTGAAGTTTGCAGAGCACTGCCCATATCCCCATGAGGTCAAGCTTGGTAGAAATGTGCCCATTTTGCAGATGAGAAAAGCTAAGAGGGGTTAGGTGACTTTCCTAGGGTAACACAACCAGGACATGCTAGAGCCTGCACAGACACTGAGGTTGTCAGAGGCCTTCAAAAGGAGAGGTGGGCTCTTCCAGCAAAGGCTGGGGGGCCGTGTTCTAGAAGGGACCTGTAAGCGGGTGCCAGTTGGACCAGCTGCCCTCTGAGGTTCTGATAGTTGGCACCCTCCGTGCCTCCTACCCTGGGCTACAAGGCTCCTCTGTGCCAGCCAACCTCATTGACTAAGCAGGGGTGCCTCCTGCATCCACCATCTGAGGATTGCCTGGGATGTTCTACAGCTCCCCTGTAGCCCTCGTCCTCTGACCACACAGGATCCAATATCTAACCCTAAGGTCATTGTGCAGATACAGAAATCTGGGCAGCGCTGCCCAGTGGCCCCAGCCACATGGGGTCCAGACAGGCAGGATACACAGAGGGGGCCCCCTCCTTCCCTCCTGGATCTTCCCAAGCACCCCAGATTTTAGAATTTATACGGCTGGGATAGCCAGGAGGCTGTAGGCTTCAGGAGTGAGGACACCCCCTGACACGCACACCCCGTTTCACTCCATCACTAGTGAGTTTCCCAGCCTGCCTAGAAGCTACAACAGCCAGGAGACTCCTCCACCACCCTGCGCCAAGGACGAGCCTTTGCTTTCTGTTGCTGTCGAGAGTATCATTTTAAAATGTGTATTATCCGTGGTAAAAAACAAACCAAAACCAAAAAGATTGTTTACGTAAAGTTGTGTGGTTTTCTTTTTAAAAAAATTGTGTGTACTGTAAACAGACTGTCTCCTGAAGAAGTGGGCAGCAGCCGCTGGGCTGATACCGTTCAGGACTTTGTGATGTCACTGTTCTCGCACGCGGGTGACGACGGACTGAGCCGCGGAGGCTGGCAGTGGCTGTTCCTCTGGGGTCCCCGCCGTGGTGCGCGTGGTCCTGCCCAAGGGAGGGAGGGGGCGTGGGTCCTGGCACATCTGGGAGCTGAGGTTTCGTGCCTTAGGGTGGGACCCTCCTCCTCCTCATATTTATTATCTTAATTTATACAGTGGTCACCATGGAAACAAAGGCCTCTTGTATTTTGATGTACATACTTTACGTCTGGTTGGTGTAAATAAGTTGGTCTTGTATATAAAGGAAGCTTGTTTTCCACCCTCCTCTCGCTGCCTGAGTCCTTCTTGTCAGTGCCGGGCGCTTTGCCAAAGGGGAGCACCTCGGGATGGGTAGTGCCGAGCCCCGCCCTCTGAGCCCATGCTGCTTTTTCAGCGCCAGGCCTGGAGAGGACGGACGCACCGCACGGGAGTCTTGTTGGGTAGCAAGCACCGGAAGGCCGTGGCTGAACCCAAGGTTGCCCAGACCTCGTCTGCTGAGTGCCCAGGGGAGCAAACTCGGCCCCCGCTGGTCACCCACAGTCTTGGCCACCTCAAGCGGGTCCGTGGTGGGACTCGGGCCCAGGTCCGAGGCCAACTATGTGGTGATCGCTGAATCTAGGACTATACCAAGGCCTCCACAGTATTTGGCATACCCTGTGAGGATGGGGCTTCATATGTCCCCATTTTACAGATAAGTTGAAAGATGTCAGTGGACTAGCCCAGAGTCACACAGCGCATGAGTGTCTGAGGACATAGTTCAAGCCCAGACCTCCATCTACTCTATCACCTCACTGCTTCTGTTGAAATGCGGATTGGTGGAACAGTGTTAGAGGAGGCCATTCCGATGGGCTTCGTGGCCGAAGGAGAATAGACAATGTGTAGACCGAGTCTGCACAGAACAAATACATCCAAAATCAGGACAAAGGAGTTGGGGAAGGGGGGAATCGGGAAAGGCTTCCTGGAGAAAGTGGCATTGGCGCTGCACTTGAAAGAAGAGAGAGAAACTGAGGCAGCAATAAGGAGCAAGCGCCTTCCAGACATGGGGGCGGGGGAGACAACTAGGACCTAAGGCGCAGAGGCAGATGAGCCTAGAGGAGGCAGGAATCCCCAGCCGCTGAGGCGTGGGGAGCGGGGTTGGGCGTGGCTTTAAACTCCAGCTTACCTCGCGTCATTGGACCCAAAGGAAGCCCTGGTATTTCTCAGAGTAGGGCAGTGGCCTGGGCATCTCTGCCCTCTGCCATCCGCAACGCCAGGGAGATGGGAGCAGGGAGGCAGGGAGACCCGTCAGGAGGCCACAGGAGCAGTGCAGGCAAAAGGTGACAAGGTCCTGAAGCGGGGGGAGGCTACGTGAGCGGAGAGAAGGGGATGGACGGGAGAGATGATGGCTCGGTCTGGCGGCGGACTATCTTGGGAGGGAAGCGGCTTTCTCCCTCTCCCCTCCTCCCCTGCCTCTGCTGCCCCATCCCTCCCTCCCCAGCCTGGCACTTCTTGTAGGTCTCAGTGCTTGCCCCTTGGGTCTACAGCTTTAGCTTTTGTAAATGACTCCCCTTAGACTCAGCACCCCAGCCACGGAAAACTTCATCTTCTTCCCTCTGCTACGGGTCAGGGGAATTCAGCCGGAAATGGGGGTGGAGGACAATTCAAAACTCTAGGAAAAAAAGGAATAAAGGAGAGCGGAGTAGATCATGCGCTGCGAGCCCTTCCCACACCCAGCAACCCAAGCCCCCTCTGGTCCATAAGCCATCCCTGCTCAGATTCAACCCCCTTGTAGAGGAGCTCGGCGCCCACCAACAGCGCTCCAGATGCTGAATGTTCCCTGAAGGTTGCATCTCCTCCCCATGACAGAGGCTATACTCTGACCTCTGGGGCCTAACACCTCTCCCTCTCTTCTCTCCTCTCTCCTCTCTCCTCTCTCCTCTCTCCTCTTCCTCTCTCTCTCTCCTCTCTCCTCTCTCTCTCTCCTCTCTCTCTCTCTCTCTCTCTCTCCCTCTCTCTCTTCTCTCTCTCTCTCTCTCTCTCTCTCTCTCTCTCTCTCTCTCTCTCTCTCTCTCTCATCTCCCTCTCTCTCTCTCATTCTCTCTCTCTCTCTCTCTCATCTCCCCTCTCTCTCTCTCTCATTTCCCTCTCTCTCTCCCTCTCTCTCTCATCTCCCTCTCTCTCTCTCTCTCATTTCCCCTCTCTCTCCCTCTCTCTCTCATCTCCCTCTCTCCTCCCTCCCTCTCCCTCTCTCTCTCCTCCCTCTCCCTCTCCTTCTCTCCTCTCCCCCCTCTCCCTCTCTCTCCTCCCTCTCCCTCTCTCTCTCTCTCCCTCTCTCTCTTATCTCCTCTGCTCTCTCTCATCTCCCTCTGTCTCTCCCTCTCTCTTCCTCCTCCCTCTCTCTCTCTCTCTCTCTCTCCTCTCTCTCTCTCTCTCCTCTCTCTTCCTCTCTCTCTCTCTCTCTCTCTCCTCTCTCTCTCTCTCTCTCTCTCCTCTCTCTCTCTCTCTCTCTCTCTCTCTCTCTCTCTCTCTCTCTCTCTCTCTCTCTCTCATCTCCCTCTCTCTCTCTCTCTCATTTCCCTCTCTCTCTCCCTCTCTCTCTCATCTCCCTCTCTCCTCCCTCCCTCTCCCTCTCTCTCTCCTCCCTCTCCCTCTCCTTCTCTCTCTCTCCCCCTCTCTCCTCTCTCTCCTCCCTCTCCCTCTCTCTCTCTCTCCCTCTCTCTCTCATCTCCCTCTGTCTCTCTCTCATCTCCCTCTGTCTCTCCCTCTCTCTCTCTCCCTCCCTCTCTCTATCTCTCTCTCTCTCTCTTCCTCTCCTCTCTCTCTCTCTCTCTCTCTCTCTCTCTCTCTCTCTCTCTCTCTCTCTCTCTCTCTCTCTCTCTCTCTCTCTCTCTCTCTCTCTCTCTCTCTATCTCCCTCTCTCTCTCATCTCCCTCTCTCTCTCTCTCATTTCCCTCTCTCTCCCTCTCTCTCTCATCTCCCTCTCTCCTCCCTCCCTCTCCCTCTCTCTCTCCTCCCTCTCCCTCTCCTTCTCTCTCTCTCCCCCCTCTCCCTCTCTCTCCTCCCTCTCCCTCTCTCTCTCTCTCCCCTCTCTCTCTCTCCCTCTCTCTCTCATCTCCCTCTGTCTCTCTCTCATCTCCCTCTCTCTCTCCCTCTCTCTCTCTCCCTCCCTCTCTCTCTCCTCCCTCCCTCTCTCTCTCTCTCTCCTCTCTCTCTCTCTCTCTCTCTCTCTCTCTCTCTCTCTCTCTCTCTCTCTCTCTCCTCTCCCTCTCTCTCTCTCTCTCTCATTTCCCTCTCTCTCTCCCTCTCTCTCTCATCTCCCTCTCTCCTCCCTCCCTCTCCCTCTCTTCTCCCTCTCCCTCTCCTCTCTCTCTCCCCCTCTCCCTCTCTCTCCTCCTCTCCCTCTCTCTCTCTCTCCCTTCTCTCTCTCATCTCCCTCTGTCTCTCTCTCATCTCCCTCTCTCTCTCCCTCTCTCTCTCCTCCCTCCCTCTCTCTCTCCTCCCTCCCCTCTCTCTCTCTCTCCTCTCTCTCTCTCTCTCCTCTCTTCTCTCTCTCTCTCTCTCTCTCTCTCTCTCTGTCTCTCTCTCATCTCCCTCTCTCTCTCTCTCTCTCATTTCCCTCTCTCTCTCCCTCTCTCTCTCATCTCCCTCTCTCCTCCCTCCCTCTCCCTCTCTCTCTCCTCCCTCTCCCTCTCCTTCTCTCTCTCCCCCCTCTCCCTCTCTCTCCTCCCTCTCCCTCTCTCTCTCTCTCCCTCTCTCTCTCATCTCCCTCTGTCTCTCTCTCATCTCCCTCTCTCTCTCCCTCTCTCTCTCCTCCCTCCCTCTCTCTCTCCTCCTCCCTCTCTCTCTCTCTCTCTCTCTCTCTCTCTCTCTCTCTCTCTCCTCTCTCTCTCTCTCTCTCTCTCTCATCTCCCTCTCATCTCCCTCTGTCTCTCTCATCTCCCTCTCATCTCCCTCTGTCTCTCTCATCTCCCTCTCTCTCCCTCTCTCTCTCATCTCCCTCTCTCTCCTCTCTCTCTCATCTCCCTCTCTCTCTCCCTCTCTCTCTCATCTCCCTCTCTCCCTCCCTCTCTCTCTCATCTCCCTCTCTCCCTCTCTCTGTCCTCCCTCTCTCTCCTCCCTCTCCCTCTCTCTCTCATCTCCCTCTGTCTCTCTCTCATCTCCCTCTCTCTCTCCCTCTCTCTCTCCTCCCTCTCCCTCTCTCCTCCTCCCTCTCTCTCCTCCCTCTCTCTTTCTCCCCTGCTCCCTCTCTCCCACAGACATCCACAGCTCTACCTCAGCCTCCCCTAGTCCACACACGGTAACTAGGTGGCAAGAGGTCAGAGGCAGTTTTGCCTCCTTGCAAAGAGCTGGCCGCATCTTCAGCCACCTGCTCTCTCCCTCTGCCCCCACCTCCCACAAAGTGTGTGCAACCCCATGGGTCCGGCTCTGCCCGGTTAAGGAGGCGAGCAGTGAGCCACAGAAGGTCTTTGAGAAAATCAATGGGATCCCGAGTTGCTCCTGCAGGTGTCGGTGAGGAGAGAGACGGGAGGAGGGAGGGACTGGGGGAGGGCCGGGGTTCGGAGTCAAGGTACGAAATCCAAACCCTGGTCTGCTTCTTCCTGCTTGTATGGCTTTCTGTGCTTCTGCCGGCTCCTCTCAGAGGACCAAGGGATTGACCAGACATTCGCCATGGCTTCCTTTGGTTCTAAATCCCAAGGCCCCGGTAATGGGGAAGGTAATGAGGACCCCAGCTAGGGCGGTGGTGATGAGAAGAGAAAGGAAGACACAAAGCTGGGACCCAGCAAGTGAGCCAGGGGAGCAGGGAGGTTAAGAAGATAGCCGAGGGGCCGAGAAGACAACCAGAGGTCGCATCGACAGAATCGGGCTCCTCCCTGCTCCCTCCGTCTGGCTGGCTCACTGTTCTCAGACTCCTTTGGGAAGCTCTGGCAGGCAGAGAAAACGACTGACTTTTCACCTGAAGGCCCCTGGGCATTACAGACAGACCACATGCACCCTGGATAAAGGGCTCCCTCAATCCTCTGTTTAACATGGCCCAAGAAAGAAGACAACGCAGTGCTCAGCCCAAACTAGGACCAATACCCCCCCACCCCGGGGAGAACTCTCAGCCCACTTAGCCAGTCACGGATTCAGAGCTCTCTGACCTAGCTCCGATACTTGCGAGCGGCATTGGCTTCTCTTCTCTCCCCGCCCCACAATAAACCCGCTCCATCTGGACCTTGATGTTAGACTCCTGACTCTCTGTGTATATGCCAGAGCAACCCTCCCTGCTCAGTATCTCTAGCCATGTTGACTTTGCCCAGCAAGGACAAACCTTAGATTATGCTCTTTATGGTCTAGAAACACAGTCTTTCTCAAGTATTCCACGCAGAAAGAGCAGAGAGAATCCATTGGAGCTCTAAATTTGACACTGAACGACGCAACACCAAGCTTCCTTCTTGGGATTCTATGCCTCTTTGGATTTGGAACTGGGTCCAAGGTTAGGAGTTTTGTTTATTTGGAAACTAAGATGTCACCTTCTCCTTTGGAGTCTTGCAAGCCAAAACACAAATATATTCAAGTGTTATTGCTAATGGAGTTTCAAGAGAAGATACCTTCATGGTCTCCAAGAATCTGTAGAAAGAAGGACAAGGGTAGAGTTGCTGTCATTAGGTATTTTGTTAGGCACCTTTCAATAACCAAAGCGAAACATGATAGAGGGACGAGGGATAGGAGTCTGAACACTGAATTCTGAGTTATCCTAATGTAACGATCCTGGAATATCTTGTGCCATAGCCTCTGCTTCAGCAGAAAGAGGAAGATGATCCTGTTGTCCCCTTGACACTACCTCCTTCCTCCTCTTCCTCCTCCTCCCAGGCCTGCCTCCCAGGCTATGAATATGTCTTGGCAAACTTGCCTCCCACCCCCACCCCCAGCCTCTACCCCCACAACAGAGAGCCAAGAATAGAGCCTCTCCCCAAAGTGCCTCCCCAAGGTCACTTCTGCTACCCTTCTGGCCTTTGAGACTCATGACTCCCTATCACGTCTAGGATCAAATAGGAACTTGCTTAACGTTTAAAGTGTTTCACAACCTGACTGATTCCAGTCTTTTCTGTCTCTTTACGTGTAACTTCTCTCCATGCATTCTGCCCAGTGCCTGTACATGGTTAGGGAAATAATATAGACTGCTTTGGCCATGAGAGGTCTGGGGGTAGTGGAGATAAGTTGGAGGGAGAGGTTGGTGCCAGGTCAAACCCAGTGTGGCCTTTTTCTACATCAATAGTCAGGGAAGGTTTATGAGAAAGGCACAAACGAGCAAAATGGGAATGTTGGGGAATTGATCTGGCAGCAGTGGGCAGAATGGATTGGAAGGAAAGGGAATAAAAGCAAGAGACTCATTCTGAGGCTCTTTCAATGGTCCCGGCACAAAGACTTGTGGAAGGAGTAGCAATGGAAGGGGGCTAACATGGGAAAGTAAGCAGCAGGTAGAACCTGTTGATCATACTGGAGTGAGGCATGGAAGGAGGCCCACAATCTGCAGGAAGCAGAGGGAAGAGTAAAAGGGGAGAGAGGCTAGGATTTAGATGCAGGGTGACTCAAAAGGCTAGAAGACATAGCAGATCTGTGCTTACTGAAGGCAGGAATTTGAAACAGTGAATTGAGGTAGGGGGCAATGTATGAGTTGAAAGGAATTTCTAACTCTAAGTCAGACATTTGTCTGGGGGCGGGGGGAACTACCATTCAGCCCCAGTAGCTTCAAGGACAAATTAAATGCCTGTGGCCTCTACTGAGCTGACTGTTCCAAACAGAAACTGGTATGTGTAGTTAAAGATTCTTCTGGAGAAAGGAACTACTTAAAGCTACAGTAGACTCTGAGAATTATCAGCTCTTTTTTTTATGGAGAGAAAGTAATTATGGTCTGAAACAAGGTATTTGAACAGCTTGCCCCTCACTAAAATAAACTAATTGATAGATAAATAAAAACCAAAGCTAAAACCCTGGCTCTAAGGTAAAATAAATATGATAGAGTTAGCCATAAGAAGCCCTAGAATAGAAATTCTTAACCTGGAGTCCACAGATAGATTACAAGGGATCCTTGAACTTGGATGGGGAAAAAAACTACATCTTTGATTTCATTAACCTCTAACTGGAGTTTAGCATTTCCTCCAATTATTTAAAAATATGATTCTGAGAAGGGGTCTATAAGCTCCCCCAGACTGCCAGTCAAGGAGTCCATGTCACAAAAAAGGTCAAGAATGTCTACTCTAGAACAACAGGCTTAGTAAATCAATATCTAGCCATAGACATGAGGCTGGTAGAGCAACACATAGCAGAGAATATATACCACACAAGACTAGCAGGGAACATACCTAACATGAACAGAACAGTAACATTTCCATAAGACACTGACAACCTTGCATCATTGTCAGAAATATGCTTTACCTCTCTGCGTATGCTTCTTGGCCATGTGTGTTCCCCATAAGCATGCCTTTCCTTTGATGGTATAGGAATCTGTGGGAGCGTGTGCCTCAGTTTTATAGGAGGAAGAATGTTCTAGTGCTACTTTTCTTACAATGACATTTCATTAATACCCTTTGCTTTGAACTAATTGTGTCTCCTGGCTGACAAGTAAAAGCAAACACATTGGTGGGAGCTCATACCTTTTTCAGGGGGATTCCGACCCCAAGATTCCCTTAAACCTTAGATATCTTTGTTGGGAGTCCCAAACACAAGAGAGGAGGTATCCCAAGTTCTATGTAGATACATTGAGTTTGTGAAAATAGTGAGACAGCCAAGTGGAAATATAAGTTTGGGTGAGAGAAGAAAATGACTGAGGACTGACTCTAAGGGAAAGGAAAACCTGGAATGAGAGACGAGGCAGGCCAGTTCCAATCACACAAGGCACTGCTGAAGCCAGCACCTTCGTGCACTCTGGACAGACACTCAATTCTGCTCTCGAGGTCTGATGTAAAGTGACACCCTGAGGTGTCCAGTGACCCACCTGATTCTTACCTTGATTGAGTCTGCTGCAGGAGGGCTTCAGCCGCCTCTGGCTGGGCATTCTTAAACGTTTGGAACATGGAAAAGGACTGCAGAAATCCCATCAGGCCAGCAACTGTAAAGGAAATTTCACTTCCCTGAAAAATAATTCTGTAATGGAGGAAGCAATTAATCAAGGTAAGTCTCTACTTTTTGTGGAATAATAAACACATGGCTCCAGATCTTCACATTATAACATTTCTAAGGCTTTCAACATGCTTTACCACCCACCATTCCCTTTGACCTCACAACCATCCTCTGAGGTAGATCCTGGAGATATTATTAACCCCATTTTACAGATGAGGAAACTGAAGCTCAGAGAGAAGAAATAAAAGAGCCCTGGCTTAAGTCAGAGGATCTGAGTTCAAATCCTGTTTCTGATGTCTGCTCCCTGTTTAACAGGTAGGACAGGTCACCACCTCTCCTGGCATAAGCTTTTACATCTGTCCAGTGAAACGGTTGGATTAGATGGGCTCTGAGGTCCTTTTCAGCTCCAGAGGAATGGTTAATCAGCCAATATAAGGTTTGAACCTAGGTCTTCCCAACTCCAAGAGCAGCACCTGCTGCTTCTGCAGGTGCTATTAAAATCCCATTCACAACACACCAAAAAGCTTTTGTAATATGCATCCTGAGGAGATGATGCAGATGTCTGATTCCTTTGGGGCAAAAAAAAAACAAACCCAAAAACTGATTCTTCTCCAAAATGATTCCAATACCAGCTAACTGTGTGACACTCCCTCTCTGGGCTCATCAACAAAGGGAGGGCATGAGTCTAGAAGAGATGTTTTCTAGTTCCAGAATTCTCTTTTAATGGTGCAGCCCAATAGATACTCTGTTGGAAGGTGGGACGATAGCTTCTGAGCAGAAAGTTCACAACTCTATCCCAGGTGGGATCTGGATTCAAGTTTTCCCAAAAACGTTTAAAAATAGAGAGTCAGGAAGGATTTAGTTAATTTACATTTATAGGCAAGAGATTGGAAAGTCTCTTTGAGGGTTCCTTCCACCAATGGTTTGTTTTTGCTTTTTTTTTTTTTTTTGCATTTTAAGGTCTTTAGCGTTTTCCCATAATTCTATACAAGGTGTCCCAAAAGTCTTCATGAAGTTTTAAGCTATTAAAACTTATAGCTATTAAAGCTTTAAAACTTAAAGCTATTAAAGCTTTAAAATGTAAAGCTTCACAAAGACTTTTGGAATGAATGCCTCATATAAGAAAGGTGTTTGGCAATGAGTTGTTTCTCACCTTTTTTTGTCTGGAAAAGGCATAAGATCAAATATCTCTTGGTATTCAGAGAGGAGGACATGCAATTTTTCATGTGCATACTTATTAAGGACAGCTTGAATCTGCAATGAGAAAACTCCATTAAGACGGAAAGAAAGGAAGAATTGTGGTTCATTCCCTGCAGGGGTTCTCAGAAGTAGTGCCTTGTCTTCTGGGTTATCTGGACCAAATAGAAGGCCAATGAAAATGTGGCAGTTTTGCAGGGAGAGACAGCCAGTGGTCTGAAAAGCCCAGAAAACTAAGGCAGGCAGAAGTGATTTGACCAGGGTCACACAATGAGTAAGTGTCTGAGGCAGATTCAAACTGGCAACCTGCTGACTCCCTAGACTAGCGCTCTACCCCCTCCCCCAAGATGCCTCTGTAAAGAAATCAGAGGAATCGTGATCTGTGTCAGTGAATGGAGGACCCACATGGGCCATATCACAAACCACTGAAGGGGATGCCTACGCAGAGTCTATGGACAGGTAAGAGACTACGCACTCATCAGCCCTGACAGTGACATTCATCTTTCTTTTAAAGGGGATAAAGAAATCATAGCGTAGTTATAATAATTAATACTAATTATTATTATAACCAACATTTACACATGACTTTAAGGTAGGTAAAGAGCTTTATATGTTATTCATTTGAGTATCTCAGCTCCATGACCTAGGTGTTATTGTTGTACCTCTTTTACAGATGGATAAATAGAGGCAGAGGTTAATGTCACACAACTATTACATGTCTGAGATAGAATTCGTACTCGGGTCTTCTTGGCTCCACAATCTGTCCTACCATCTACAGACCTCAATAATTCTACATATGGAAGCAAAGTTATTGGTGTGACAGGTCACCACAGGCCAGGGGTTCTTAACTGGGGGTTCATGGATAGATTTTAGGGGGTCTGTGAACTTAGATGGGAAAAAAATTACATCTTTTTTTCACTAATTTCTAACTGAAATTTAGCATTTCCTTCAGTTAATGAATTTTTTAAGCCGCCTTATTCTGTGATGGCTTCAGGAGGCTTCATCAGGTGACCAAGGGATCCCTGGTACAAAAAGACTCCGTACCCCTGCAATAGATGGTGGCCTTTGGCAGAGAAGTTCCTGGGATCCCCTACATGAGCCCCTAGTAACATGGGGGGGGGGGGAAGCACCAGGCACTGCTCCCAACAGCTCGCTGCACAGCCCTTGTGGCCACAGGGGAGAGTTTCCCGCTGATGCTGGAAGGAGAACCTGACAAAGGGTGGAGCTCTCCAGGACTTGCGTGCTCCCCACGCCCTTGTGCACGCCCCTCACGCGGCCCATTCCTAGGGAAGGGAAAGCGTGAGTAATCACCCACACAAGCCGGTGGCCTCTCCTGGAAACGCCTTCGCTGGCCCAAAGCACCCAGCCCTACCGAGAAACAAATGGCGAAGTACACGTTGACTCTAGCTGGAAAGTGAAACACGCCAGGCGGATGTTTGGCAAAGGGCCCGAACCCATTTCCCAGACCCCCAAACCGCTCCACCGCGGGGAGGGGCCAGCCTCCCCAACCCTTGTTATCATCAGTTTGTGCAGAAGAAAGTTCAGAAGCTAAATCCGATGCTAAATCTCTTTTGAGGAAGGGCAGCCCGGGGCCAAATCGAGGTACTACAGGGACTGCCTTGAAGGGGCCACACCGCAGACCCCCATTCCTTCTCAACGTGAGGGTCTGTGGAGCATCCTAGGAATGTGTTCCTTTCCAGCAGACTTGGCGACCACAGCACGTCAAGCAGAGGCAGGAGTGCAGAGGGAGCTGGCTTGGGTCCTGCCTCTGACACAGCCTGGCTGGGGGACCCGGCCAGCTAAGCCATTTCAGCTTCCAAGGCTGCTTTCCAAGGCCGAGTTGCAGAAGATGCGGACCTCGGAGCAGCTAGGTGGCGCAGTGGAGAGAGCACCGGCCCTGGATTTAGGAGGACCTGAGTTCAAATCCGGCCTCAGACACATAACACTTACTAGCTGTGTGACCCTGGGAAAGTCACTTAACCCCATTGCCTAGCCAAAAAAAAAAAAAAAGAAAGAAGATGCCGACCTCCATTGGTGGAGGGAATTTCTCTTTGTCAATGAAATCCCGGGCCCAGTCACCTGTCGGCGGTACCCACCTCCCGGAAGATCTCTGTGAGCTCTTCAGAGCAGTGTCCGTAATGAATCCTCATTTTGGGGGTGTAGGAACTGAGGCTCACACAGCCCCCGGGCTTCAGAACTCGCTCTAGTTCTCTCATGAAGGGCGGTATGTCAAACCAGTGCGCGGCTGTGAAGGCGGTGAGCAGGTCCACGGAGCCATCCTCCACAGGCAGCGCTTCTGCTGGGCAGACACTGGGGGGCGGGGGAGACAAGGCCAGTGAGTACCACAGGCCCCGAGGGCGACAGGTCCGGACGCAATCAGTCAGTCTCTGTCTCTCTGTCTCTCTGTCTGTCTCTCTCTCTCACTCACAAACACACACACACACAGAGGAGTCAGCAGTCATTTCCCGATCTGTCAACATAAACCCATCAGTTCTCTTTACTCCCAGTTTCAAAGGGCGGCACCTTCCCACTAGAACTTCCGAGCACTGAACTTAAGAGTCAAACAAAAACCCGAGTTTCCATTCTAATTCTGCCACTTTATCAGTAGTTAGACCCTAGCAGATCACTTAGTCTCAGTTTCCTCATCTGTAAAATGGGTATACCCAGGTCACAAGACAGTTTTGCCATCTTATCTGAAAATCGTCCTTCAACTGTCCCACGGTCCCAAGTTTCTTTATTCCTCTTTGCCAGTTTTGAACAGTAGATGTGGGATAGGTGAATGGCGGAGGGCGTGGCAACCATGACGATGAGCCTCTAACACAGTCCCTCACATGTATGTGGTAGGTACAAAATACAGCTTTAAACTGAACAAAGCATGGCTGGGTTTGGTGGCATGGATACAGATGCAATCCTTGCAGAGAGACTAGCTTTGTGATCTTGGGCCCATCAGCTTCTCTGCGCAGGTAGCAGGGTTCTCATTTCTAGAATGAGGGAGATGGCCTAAAGGTTTCCACTCAATTAGACATGAACAGAGCACTTACTGTACCCAAGTTCTCGTCCCAGAAGCTGGGAATGTGGAAGTACAAACGATAGTTCCTGATCTCAAGTTTCCATCCTGATGGGGAGTGGGAGGAGGACGGGTCAGTCTACATCAAGTCTATATGCAAGTGTAAGAAAGATTAGGGCTTGATCACACCTGGCATACTCTGATCGAGGGATGCCCGACCTCCTGGCTGTTGCTCATTTCCCACCTCTGGGCATTTGTACTGGCTGCCCGCCACGCTGGCGACATTCTCCAGCCTCATCTCTGCTTCTGGCAGGGTCGCAGCTAAAATCCCACCTTCTATAGGAAGCCTCTCGATCCCCCTTGATTCTAGTGTCTTGCCTCTGTTAATTATTTCTTGTTTACATTTACTAGCTGTGTGACCCTGGGCAAGTCACTTAACCCCATTGTCTAGCCAAAAAAAATAGATAGATAGATAGATAGATAGATAGATAGATAGATAGATAGATAGATAGATATAGATATAGATATAGATATATTTCTTGTTTGTCCTGGCTATAGCTTGTTTGTTTATTGTTTTCTCCAGTAGACTCTGAGCTCCTTGAAGGCAGGGACTGTCTTTTGACTTTCTCTGTATCCCTAGGTTTAACACGGTGCCTAGCACACAGTGGGTGCTTAATAAATATTTATTGACTGATTTTCCTATAATTCTATCACTCCAATTGAGAAACTTCTTCTCATCTCCTAAAGGAGTAAAGAAGGGTAAACCCGTCTTTACACTGGCCCAGAGACAGAAAAGGTGGGTGTGTTTCAGTTTCTTTATCTGCAAATTGAAGGCATTGGACTATGACCCCCAAAGTCCCTTGGGTTTCAGCAGATATTTTCAGGCAAACTTACCAGTAAGAAACTTGGGAAGGGCTGGGAGTTTGCTTGGCCTGTTGAATCTGAGCTTCACTGATGTCTGTCCCCAGGACCCTGGCAAAGTAAGGGACCAGGACCTGGGTGCTTTGACCCGATCCACAGCCGACGTCCACCACTAGGTCATAGGGTTTGCCTTTCTAAGGAAAGAGAGAGCATTCGTCCCAGCCTGAGTCACACAGTTATAGGGACCGGTGAAGAGGTCCAAGGGAAGGGGCATCGTGGTAGAAAGGGGAGTAAGGGCGCAACGTGAGGGAAGAAAGCCCGGGCTAATGTCTTCCCTCTGACATTCCCTTCTGCCTATCCTCTAGACATCTTGTAGGTATGGACTTGGCCTCTTGTCTCCCTCACCAGAAGAGAAGCTCCCTGAAGGCAGGGACCATGCTTTTGCCTTCCCCAGAACGTAGCACCACGCCTGGCATATAGTCGGCACTTAATGGATGCTTGCTGACCCACGGCTCTAAGATGAAAGCAATGTGGAATTAGGGTCCGGGCACTGGCCCAACGAGGGAACAGCAAAGGGACGGAAAGGTCGGCCTTGGTGTGGCGGAAATAGTGCTTGACCTGGAATCGGGAGGGGGGAGGAAGAAACATCTGTGCAGCGCCTGCTCTGTGACCGGCACTGTGCGAGGTGCTTTACAAATAGTATCTCATTTGATCTTCGCAACAACCCTGCGAGACAGGTGCTATTATTCCCATTTTACAGTTGAAGAAACTGAGGCAAACACAGATTAAGTGACTTGCGGGGAATAAAGCTATTTCCAGCCAGGATGTATCTGAGGCTGAATTTGAACTCAGATCTTCCTGATTCCAGGCCCAACATTCTATCCACTGTGCCACCCAGTCACCTAACCCAGGCGAGAACTGGGTTTGAATCTTGGCTGGCCTCAGTTTGCTCACCCCCAAAATGCAGATAATGATATGTGCAGTATCTCCTTTACAAGGCTGTTGTGAGGATTGATTGTGCTTTGCAAATACTGTCAGTGGTGATTATGAGTGAAAGTCGAGGACAAGCAAAGGCGGGGGTGGCATCTGACCGGACGAGCACAGCCGCTACCCCCTCACGAGAAAGGGGATACAAATTCTTTCCTCTTTAAGCTTGGCTCTCTATTCACTTTGCCCATATCCCCAAAGCATTTTTCTTATTCCATAGATGATTGTGACAGCTGTGCATCACACCTAAAGCTTCTTACCTTTTCTTCTAAATAGGAGAAGATGATGTTAAGCAGCTCCTGGGGCGGAGGGAACCTGTGCTTCTGGTAAATGGCTGCGTGATCTTTCCCCTCAAACATCTGGGCAGACATGACTGGAAGAGGAAACAGTGTTAGTTCAGCCACCGATCACCCCCAGCTACGATTCTTCGTCAGTGTTCGCCTCTTGACAAGTCAGTCATTTCATATCAACCCAGGGAACTTCCACAGAGTGGGAAATGGGATTAACTCATGGAATCCGGTGGTATTTGGCGTGGGGAGAAGACAGTTCCAATGAGCCACAGCAACAGCCTCATTTCTATCCAATGGGCTGCCATCTCAGAAGCATTGGGTGGAGACACCCAACCCACTTAGCCACTGGATAAGGACAATGCAGCAAAAATCTGCTCAGAAGCTTCTCTTTGACCATCCTTACTCATCAATAGGACTCTGCCTCCGGAGGGCAAGGAGCACATGTCTCAGCCCTTTTCCATAGGAGGCCCTTCAAATGGTTGAACACAGTAATTGTGTTCCCATTCCAAACCCACTTTCTGTTCCTTCAGCTGGTCCTCATAAGGCACATTCTCCAGTCTTCTCACCATCCCGAGTGCTTTCATCTACATATGCCTAAGTTTTTCTATATTCTTCATCAAATATGGTGCCCAGAGCTCAAGACCGAAAGTTTCCAAAATAATTTGTAGTACTAATTTTTGTAACAGAAAAAATCATAGCAGGGAAATTGCCAAAGTATGACCTGTTGATGTAATGGATTGGAGTACTGAAATAATGAATGCAAATTTCAGAAAAACAGGGGAATGCTTGTATGAACTATCGTAGAGAGAAACAGAACTGGAAGAACACTGGGCCCCAATGATGACGATGATGCTTTTTTGGTAACCGTGATTCCCAGACGTACACAATCCAGCCCTTCTCCTCCTCAGCTCATCTCAGCACCATTTAGTGTTTACTGACCAACTACTGAGCTTGGGATGCCTGCTGGACCCCTCTACCTTGTATGTGAAGCATCCCAAGCCCAGTAGTCAGGTGGTCAATAAACATTTATTAAGAGCCTAGTGTGTGCCAGGCATTATGCTGAGCACTGGGGATACAAATATTTTTTTTTAAAAAAGGACAGTCCCTGACCTCAAGGACATTACAATCTAACAGGAAGGCGATAGACAAAAAGAAAACTAAAAAGGAGGGGAAGGTAGCCGATGTGGGGGCATGATGGAGGTGTGAGAGAAATCCCAAAGCAGTGCATTCAGGTGACACATATCCAAAATGGAACTCCTCATCTTTCCTTTTAAACAAATCCCTTCTCCTGACTTCCCTGTTTCTGTCCAGGGTTCTACTAATGGAGGGAGACATGGGGGGAGTGACTGTGGTTTGGGATGAAAAAAGATATTAACAAAAATTTCAAAATAAAAAATGATTCCCAGAAATGGACCCAGTGAATACTGACACAGGGCTAAGCGTGACCAGCTTCAAGGACAGAGGGAATATTATTTCCCCTTGTTCTACACACTGTAGCTGTTGATGCAGTCCCAGATAGCATTAGCCTTTATCTTCCCGGTCAACTTCCATGGTTTACTTCTGTTAAGGTTACAGTCACAAAGTTCCCCAAATCTTTTTTTTTTTTTGCAAGAACTGCTTTCTCCTAGCTCACAGATCTAGAGCTGGAAGAGACTTCAGAGACCCTTCCTCCAACTGCCTGATTTTACAGATGGGGAAACTGAGGCCGGGGGGCTAATTGTCTAACCCAAAGTCACACAGGTAATAAATATCAGAGGAGACCAGGACCAGAACTCTTTCTGATCTCCCCATCCTGTACTTGTACAGCTGATTTTTTTAACCCAGCAAGTTGACATTGACCCTTATTCATTTCATCTTACTAGAGTCAGCCCATCAATCTAGCGTGTTGAAAATGTTGGTGAGTTATCCAGCCAGTAGCGATCTTGGGGTATGATTCAAATGTGCATGTCTGAGTCCTTGATTTCAAGAACTAAACAGCACAGGGCCCAGGTCAGCTCCCCAGGGCCCTCTTCAGAGACAAGCAAGTCCCAATGCATCATTGCCTACCTTGGATTCTGAGCTATTGGGTGGCTCCTAACCACTACTGCCCGCAGCTCTCCTCTGTCCACAAGGGCAGCGTTTAATTCAATAAACATTCATTAAGGACTTACTGTGTGCAAGACACTGAGGATGCAGAGAGAGAAATCCAAATAGCCCCTGCCATCAAGGAGCTGAAATTCTCCTGGGGGATACGACAAGTAGCCGAAGATGGATAGTACAGAGAAAACGGATGGGGGCATGGGGAAGACATCAGGGGAAGCTTCAGGGAGCTTGATACCCAGCCAAAGAGAGGCAAAGAGGAGGCAGGGCATTCTAGGCACAGGGGGCTGGCTGGCACAAAACCTTCAATAACACCTCACTGAAATTTGCGTCCATCAACAGACAAGCATTGATTAATTGCCTACTATGTGCCAGGCACTCCCCCTGCTAAGTGCTAGGGATCCAAAGCCAGAGAGAAAGAGGTCTTGCCCTCCAGGAGTTTCCATTCTATCAAGTCCAAAAGCAATGTGAAAAATTGCAAAGCACGAGCACAGTCCGAGGAGAGATGGGAGAAGACGCCTCTGCCCACGGCACCTATTTTCAGATTTGCTACGGATGGCTCGATTTGGTCCATTTTTTCCCCTCCCCTTCCTTTTTTCTTGGAAAAAGATATTCTTGGTTATAGGGAATGGCTCTCTGGGAGGAGGCGATGGAGGGACAGGGGATGGGGGGGTCAAAACGAAAGACAAAGGGGGGGTTTTAGAAAAGGGGGCAACTAGGCAGCGTAGTGGGTAGAGTGCTGGGCCCTGGGGTCAGCAAGACCCAAGTTCAAATCTAGCCTCAGACACTAGCTATGTGACCCTGGGCAAGTCACTTAACCTTCTTTATCTCAGTTTCCTCATCTGTAAAATGAGCTGGAGAAGAAAATGGCAAACCACTTCAGTATCTCTGCCAAGAAAACCCCAAATGAGGTCATGAAAAGTCCCACAGGACTGAACAAAAGAAAGAGAAAAACATGTACATGACATAAAAAATATTGCAAAGTCACTTAGGAGGTCAGGAAAGTCTGCATGTAGGCGGTGAGGCCTGACCTGAGCTCTGAAGGGAAGAAGTCAGTCCAAGGAGAGGAAAGGGGACATTCCAGGCCTGGGAGTGGGAGCAGGCTGGGCAGAGGCAGTGCCTGGGCTGGCACAGGAAGGAGATAAGATAGATTGTGGACAAAGAGCCAGTTAAGGGCAGGAGGCAGTGGCTTTACAAACATTACAAACAGTTCCTTGTCTGATCCTGACCACGGCCCCTGGAGGCAGGTGCTGCCATGATCCCCCCTTTACAGTGGAGGAAACCAAGGCCATCAGAGGTTAAGTGATTTGCCCAGGGTCACCCAGCTAGGAAGTGTCTGAGGCTGCATTTGAACTCGGGTCTTCCTAACTCCGTGTCACCAGCTGCCTCCAGCAGGGCAGTTGGCCTGGAAGAGTCTGCTAGAGCTGCAGGAGTCAGTGATGTTTCCTGGGCAGGGCAGCAGCCTGCTCAGGCCTGGGCCTACGCCTGGCATTCCCCTGAGTTAAGCAGCTAACTTCCCCGCCTGCCTAGAAGAGGAAACAGGCTTCATCGGCCGTGGCCTCACGGCACTGGCGTGACACCTTCCCTTCCCAAGTGCTCACGAACCATCCCTTGGATTCAATGCCCTAGAACTGCAACACGACTCCATCCTTCCTTTTAGGAAAACTGGGACATCTGCCCGTTTCCAGGCCTGCATTCCATGGTCTTTTGAAGGTTGCTGACTCCATTCACCAATTGAATTAGAGGCAGTGAAGTGAAGAGGCAGGGGAGATAAAGCACTGACCTTGGGAGTCAGGAAGCCCCGAGTTCAAATCCAGCCTCAGACACGTCCTAGCTGGGTGACCTTAGGCAAGTCACTTTAACCTCTGTTTGCCTCAGTTTCTTTATCTGTAAAATGGGGATAACAGTACCCTCCCGGGTGGTTGTGAGGATAAAATGAGATGACACATATGTTTTTGCAAACCTTAAAGTACTATTTAGTGCTAACTGTTGTTAAATCTGCCAGCTCTTTCAGTACCTTGGGATATAATTACTCTATGCCTGGTTACAGACCCCTAAGGGGAGCTGGCTGCTCCCTTACTGCCCCCTCGTTGAAGCCCCTGGTGACTGCTTTGCTCCATTCCTCTCAGTCCGGAGGTCATTTTCCTCGAAAGAGAAAACACAAGCAAAATCACTGCCATATGCTTTTGAGTCGAAAATTTTTCTCCCTCATCTTCCCCCCCACCCTCCCCAAGATGGCGCACAATCTGATATAGGCTTTACATTTACATTCCTATTAAACATATTTTCACATTAGTGAAGTTGTAAGTAAAAATTAAAACCAATAGGAGGAACCATCAGAAAGAGGAAACAAAACTCAACAGAAGGTAAAAATAAGTGAGAGCGATTCGACTTCCATAGTTCTTTCTTTGGATGTGGACAGCGTTTTCCATCCAGAGGCCTCTGGAGATGTCCTAGATCGTTGTAATGCAGAGAAGGGTTCAGACTAACAATATTAGTCGTCGCATAACGTGGCTGTTATTGTGTACAAAGTCCTCTTGGTTCTGCTCACTTCACTCAGCATCAGACCATGTAAGTCTAGTAGAAATTTATTTTTAAAAAATATTCCGATAACTCTATTGCAATATAATTGGCTTCCTCTGTAAACCCATATATTTTGTTTTATGCATTTAAGAAGGTGGCTCTGAGAAGGGGTCCCCAGGCTTCACCAGAGCGCTGCTAAGGGGGGCCAGGACACAAAAAGAGGTAAAGACCCCTGCCCCAGGGGAAGTAGGCTGTCTGACCTCAGAGGGGACCACCTATTTTTTTCCCACTTGGAGCGTTCAGTGGCCTCACTGCCCTCCCATCAAGGAGTCAGTCACTCTTTTACACCTTGGTATGAGTTGCTTTAAGTTAACATGTTACTTTTCCCACTGGGAGCATTAGGAACATAGACAGCCACAAGTCTTGGCCCAAAGGACAAGCAATCAGACCCAGCAGAACTGGGGCAAGGCTGGGAAGAGTGGGAGAACAGAGAAATAGGCCCAGAAAGGGAACAGCAGCTGGTGGTGGGGCTGGAACCAGGACTCTGAAAGCAGGTAAGCAGTCTGGAGCTTATCCACATACATAAGGTAAGGACAGACTCCTGGTCAAAACCAGGTAGCCAAGCAAGAGTCAGGGCCTACCTGAGAGCTCCTGAAGCTCAGGACGAGGAGCGAGTTGGATTGGGGCTGAGATGGTCAGAAGGATAGATCGAGTCAGTAATCCATACCGTCCACCCAGGAGACCCTGGGGACCTGAAGGGCTGAGCCACGGTGGAGAAATGAGAGACTGATCGCCCAGAGAGACGGATGCTTCCCAGCCCTCCTCTGGGGAACGAAGCTGGCTTCTTGTTAAGGTGGGAATCAATCCCAACTCGGTTAGCCTGGGCCCTGCAGGTGAGGGCAAGTGTTTGGAAACAGCTGGCTTGGGGGAAAATGGGAGTGAGGAAGGAAAGCAGTAGGTGCTGGCTGGTAGAGCCTGACTCCTAGAGCTGTAAGCCTTTCCAGTCTTCTCTCCCACTGTGCAAGCACGGCTTCCTCCGCTGTGAGAAGAATTTCAAGCGGTAAAATCAGTCAGCAGTGACAGGCTGTACTGTCTGGAGTCAGCTCATAGTGACTCTTCAGCCGGTTGTTAAATTTCCCGGGTAAGCATTTGCCCTTTGGAAATCAGCAAATGCCACAAATTGGGACACGATTTATTATTCTGCTAATTGTCTAGACTTAGGAAGTGATAAGAAAATGCTAATAATGAAGATCAAACTTAAAAGTGTATCCTGCATAGTTGCTTTTGGGGTTTTTTTGGAGAGCTGGTTGTTAAATATTTACCAACACATTCCAAGCACAATAAACTTTTGGGGCATAAGAGGGCTCACCTTACTACTCAGTGGTTTCCTTTCCTTGGAATTCCTTGCCTCCAAACCCCCAAACCCTCAACCTCCTGCTTACTTGGACAATCAACTAGATCTGTGATCTTGGGGATGTGGGTCCCCCACCGAGTAGATCCCAATTCCTGCAGACCTCCTCATCCAATGTAGCTCCTGTCCTAACATTCCCATCCCCTGAGGGGATCCACTGAGCTGGTGAAGGGTCTTCCTCTAGAAACCTGATATTTGACAGGCCCAGGCCCTTCCCCAGTTATGCACTGTTCTAGTGACCTCATTTATGTGGCTTCTTCTATATAGCACAGTGCCTGGCATACAGTAGGTGCTTAATAAATGTTTAATAAATGAATGAATACTATGTTACAGCTGATTCATGCCCACCATGAGCTTCTTCAACGGCCTCTGGGTGACCATCCCCATCGATTTTTCTCAAGACTATGGCATTACCTGATTTGTAGCCCCATGGCAACATCTGGGAAATATTGATGTCAGAAAGACGGCCCTTTATTTCAAGGAAAAGCCTGGGGATTGTTAAAAACACCTCCTGATACCGCCGATGTAATCCAGCACATTCTGCTCCTCCTGGTCAGTTCCGGACATCCTCCACCAGCAGTGCCTGCCCAAGGAGGACACGGGCTGTCTAGTCAAAGACACAAAGGCACTCTTCATCCACTTGGTTTTTCTAGTGTGGATGGTTAAGCTGAACTTGCTCTAGTCATGGTGGCCTCATTCAGGAGGCTCCACAATGCTGCAGGGCCTGGTGTACTCGGCACAACACCCTCTGCAGAAGCAGAAAGGCGCCACCCAGGACCGAGGGCCATTATGCATTTTCTGTCGTTTCCATGGTTTTGTGGGTGATCACAGCCAAAGAATGGACATCAAAGAGGGTAAGGAGGGGTAATGAGCATCTCCCCAGTTAGCCAGGCTGGCTCTTAGAAAACAGACACAGGGGCAGCTAGGTGGCACAGCAGATAGAGCAATGGACCTGGAGTCAGGAGGACCTGAGTTCAAATCCGGTCTCAGACCAGAGACTTGACGCTTACTAGCTGTGTGACCCTGAGCAAGTCATTTAACTCCATTGCCTACCCCCCCCCCAAAAAAGAAAGAAAACAGACA